CCTTACATGTTAGAATTTTTTTTTTTTTTTTTTTTTTTTGAGACAGAGTCTCGCTTTCTTGCCTAGGCTAGAGTGAGTGCCGTGGCGTCAGCCTAGCTCACAGCAACCTCAAACTCCTGGGCTCAAGCAATCCTACTGCCTCAGCCTCCCAAGTTGCTGGGACTACAGGCACGAGCCACCATGCCCGGCTAATTTTTTATATATATATATTAGTTGGCCAATTGATTTCTTTCTATTTTTATAGTAGAGACGGGGTCTCGCTCAGGCTGGTTTTGAACTCCTGTACATGTTAGAATTTATTATAGCTACTATATATTTTGGGGGTAATTTAATTACCATGTAATTTCAAACTTGCAGAAAAGTTGCAAGAATAGTACAAGGGAATAGATGATTTCAAGACACTGTGGTAAGAGTAATGACAGTAGTAAGCAGTGGGTGCCTTAGGGGAACATGGAAACATGGAGGAGGGCCACTTAACCCAAAATATGGAGTCAGGAAATGCTCCCCTGAGAGGGGGGTTTCTAATTCTTTGCTTTCAGGTGAAATTGCCAAATCATAATTTTAGAGCATATGGCTATTTGGGCACTAAGATAAACTAATAGTAAGTTAAGCTTAAGGCAATAAATGCCTACCAACTAGACAGCTGCAGATCTCTGATTATCCATTGCAGAAGCATTATCAGAAGTCAGCTGACCACCCCTAAAGTGTTCCTGGAGAAGCTGAGTGAATCCATGTGACCTTTCAATTTTTTAAAAAACAATACTTGTACATGGTAAAACATTTATAAGTGCAAAAGGGATATAGTGTATATTCAGTGAGAGGTTTTCCTTTCACATAATCTTGTTTGTGCTCCCCCACTCCTTCCTTTTCTTAGGGACAGCTGTTATTACCCGTTTTTGGTGTGTCCTTTGGAGATAGTCTGTATATGTCTATGTTCAATCTCTCTCTCTGGAAGAGTTTCTTGTCAGTACATATAGATCTGCATGGCTACATGGTGTTCTGTCCAATGAACGTGTACAGTTTATTCAACCAGTCCGCTACTAGTGGTTATTTCTAGTCTTTTGATACTACAAACAATGCTGTGGGACATATCCTTGTACACATTTTCTTGTGTGAGAGTTTGTTTTTTTTTAAAGAATATATTCTTAGTAGAATTGCTGCATCAAAGGATATATAGACTTTTCAAATTTTAGACAGAAAATAACATTAGCATTTTTATCTTGTAAAACAGTCTTAGAGCTTTTGATACGGAATGGGATAAAATAGTGATATTACATTTATCCATGAATGCCGTTTTTGTTGTTGTTGATTACTGTTTGATAGGAGGAAACTTATTGGGTTTAAGAGAAGGTGACACTTTATGGTTGGGGGTGAGCTAGAATATCAAAGCAGTATCATAATTATCAAAGTATTTCTGGGTTGTTTCTGGTTGCTTGTGTCCTAACTCTGTTTTGTTTGCTTACTATAATTAAATGACTGAAACAACGTGGTGGTACAGTCCTACAGAGCAAAACTGTCTTCATATTAACTTACTGCTTCCATATGGGTCATAAATTTTAATGAAAACTTAAATACTGTGCACCATATCAAGCATAACTGATTCTTTCTATTCCCTGCCCTAGTTACATTCTGTAGACACTACAAACAATGGAGTTTATAGTTTGTTGATAAAAAACTTTGATGAGAAGGTTGGAATCTGGAATTCACTTTCTTAGAATAATTCGTTCTTGAGATTTCAGAGATAAGACCAAAGTTTACATTGTATTTGATTGGCTCTGTGTGTACTTTGTATAGGAATGATCACTTAGGATACCACAAATATTTAAAATTTTATCATGCAACAGTTTTGTCTAAAATGATTTGCAGCCTACAGTCTTGGGGAAAAACACATTACTATCTTAATTGTTAGCTTTTAAAATATAACTTCAAAAAAGCCTATTTTGGACAGAAATCTTCCTCAAATGTGTTACACATTTTTGTGACTTCTTAAACAGGATATCAACCATCATTACCAAAGCAATCCAATTCAAGTAGTTCATGGTGATCAGGGCCACAAATGAGAACTTGAGTTATTGTAGTAATAATGTTCTCAGAACTGATTGAAGTATAAGGAAGGGCTCTTTGCCTCATACCAAATAGCCCAAGACTAATTAATTAGCTTCTTGAGTTCTTCTGATTCCTCAGTGTGCCAAGTTTCTCTTCCTGTAAGAGCCACAGTACCATCAGCGTAAAATAATCAAAGGGACAGAATGTAGTTACAGTATATTCAAGTGCAAAGTTTGAGGATGGGCTGTCCTGGAAGCACAGATTCCAAAAAATGGATATCAGTGTTCCGAAGTATAGAATTTTGGGATCACTTATATAGACAAAGATAGAGAAGTTTAACAGAATTTAAGCATTTTAATGTGAGATTGTTTTGTATTTTTTTTTTTTTTTTTTTTTTTTGAGACAGAGTCTCGCTTTGTTGCCCAGGCTAGAGTGAGTGCCGTGGCGTCAGCCTAGCTCACAGCAACCTCAAACTCCTGGGCCAGTGAAAACCCTCCCCTAGCCTACACCACACCAAGAAATAAGACTACAGCATGCACAACCAATTTTGCCAACTAATATATTTGTATATATAGTTTGGCCAAAATTTTTCTATTTCTATTAATAGTAGAAACGGGGCTCGCTCACTTCGCTCGGCTAGTCGAAACCATCTGAACTCGAGCATCCGACCCGCCTCGGCTCAAACCAAGAGCTAGGATTACAGGCGTGAGCCACCGCGCCCGGCCGGTTTTTTGGGTTTTTTTGTGTGACTCAGTCTTGCTCTGTCACGTGTGCTAGAGTGCCCTGGTGTCAGTCTAGCTCAGAGTAACCTCAAACTCTTTGGGCTCCACTGATTCTTCTGCCTCAGCCTCCTGAGTAGCTGGGATTACAGGCACATCCCACCATGCCCAGCTAACTTTTTCTATTTTTAGTAGAGACAGGGTCTGACTTGCTCAGGCTGGTCTCTAACTCCTGACCTCAAACGATCTTCTTGACTTGGCCTCTCAGAGTGCTAGGATTACAGGAATGAGCCACGGTGCCTGGCCTTAGTTTAAGGCTTAATGCATAGTTTAAATGATCTGAGTAGTTGAGGTGATCTTATTCTGTGGAGAAATGTATATTTAACATTCCACACTGAAATGTAAATATGGGGTCTTGGGCACCATCACTTTTGAGTTAGGTACAGGACAATAAAGGAGGCAGTTAATCTCTAGTGAAGATAAGTGATTAGGAGGTGGGAAGGTCTGGTCTCTGGTCTCTCCTAGTCATTTACAGAAGAAGAACAATGCGGAAGAGAGTTAAAGTATAAACAGAGTTACAAACATGCTACGTGACTTGGTTTCCCAGGCTTAACTTACCCCTTTGCATAATAAATTTAGAGGGTCCTGAAATATTATTTTCTCTAAGGTCCCAGAGCTGATTTGTGGTTTCTAATTTATTGTAGGTTAAAATAACTTGATAACCTGGCATATTAGAATTATATGTGAAACAAAAGTAAGAAGGCCCTGGGGGATGCAAAGGGGCTGTGCTATGATTGCAATTCATGGAGTGCTGGTACTCTGAGTGGTCAGACATATACATCCCATTGAGTGAGGTGCTTTTGTAAATGGCTCAAGAAGGGTTGGGTTTAGCTTGTGTTATTGGAGTCTGGTGTTTAGCCATCTGGTGGCTTAAAATGTGACTTGGCTAGTTGTCCATTGTAATATGATACTTGCCATTAGTGACTCTAGAGAGAAAAGATTGTGTTTTCCAAATTAGGAGGTGGTAGTATATTTTATATGTCACAAGACAGGTATAAACCTAAAAACTTCTTTCAGATCTGAATTCTGTAATTCTGTAAGATAGGTATAGAATATGTTGTTAGAAAGAGAGATTTACCTAAAAAAGAAAGTAGGGGTTGATCAGATAGGAGCAACATAAGGGACAAGTGTGGAAAAAAGACTAGATTTAAGCAGGAAAAGGTGGTTAAAAGAGGCATCATCACTTTTTCAGTAGGGTAGTTATTGGGATTTAATGGGTGGGAGGACATCAATAAACACTACCTTCTCCTTCCCCTTGTAAATTTGGAATAAACTGATAAGTAGATTCTATAATAAGTACTTACAAATGTTAAAAATCAGCCTTATTGGTGAGGCTGACTGGAGAATATGCCATAAATCTGTGGCTAAATGGGCTTGCTAATAACTCTCCCTCCCCTCAATTAAACTTAGCAGACGCTGGACTTCTGAAAACCCCACCGCCCCCATCCCCATCCCCACCCACCTGCAAGTTACTTGTTCTAGGACCTAGAGAAGTACTGGCATCCCACAAGCGTAATCATGCTGGTGCTTTGGCTCCCCTTGGGATCCCAGGAGAGGCTGGGCCATGGGTGATTAGTTTCTTTTCCTGCTTGTCAGAGGGTTGGAGAATGAGGCCTGGAACATTGTAGATGATGAGTCTTTCCTTAGGAAAATTTGAGGCTGCCAAATAGTGGTCCTCCACTACTATTATGCTGGTATGGTGTTTTCCCCCACTCATTCCAGAAGGTTGATCCACAGGCTTAAGTTGCTATAGCAAAGACAGTTATAGATCTCTGTCCTTAAAAACTGGTAAAATTGGGGGAAGACAGTCTTATTTCAGACAGTTGGGGTAATCTGGAGGCAAAGGCAGAGATGGGTAATTGCCTAGCAGCCTCTGTGTGGACGCTTATTAAAAAGTATTTGCCTGTCCCACTACAATACTTTTGCTTCAATTTGGATTTGAAATCTTGGCAGCAAAAATGTGACTAAGACTTTTCTGTTTTTGTTAAATATCTCTGTAATCATATTCTGAAAACTATAAATATTTTCAAGGTTATCAATTCAGTAGAAAAATTATTCTTTTCACATAGTAAAAATTATTCTTTTCACATACTCAGTCATACAGAGTAACAAAATGCTGGTTCTGAACTTGTTAGTATGTTCTTGCTAATTCTCCCTCCCTTTTCTCCTTTCCAGAATCCTATTCGAAAAACTCGGGCACTCAGGTATCCACCATGGTGTTGGGTCCTGAACAGAAGATGTCAGATGGTAATTTACAGCTTTGTGTTGTCTAATTTTTATTTGGAATTAGGCTTATGTCAGAATCAGAAATGTACCGTATTTTCCCTCTCATCATCTTTTCCAATAACTCCATTCAGCACTCATTGTCTGGTGATTTAGATTGTAAATGAGAATGGATTTGTAACCACAAGACCTGCCTTCATCCTTTATTTCCAATTCTGAGTTCAGCTAAGATTAGCTACAAGGTTGGCTTCTATAGAAGTAATCTTGCAAAGGCAGTAGTCTTCCCAGACCTGGCGTGATAACCTCTGGAGTGCTTTGGCTGCTGGTGGCACTTTCTGATGTTTCAGGTGTGTATGGAACAGTAAAATACCGAGCAAGTGCGTTACACCTGCATTTGACAGGAGCTTCTTGAGGGTTTTGACTATTTCTTCCTAAATCTGAGCTTCCCCTTAGGAATTTCTATTCCTTTTCTGTAACTTTCCTCATCAATTCAGGGCCACTTAATGACGGTGATGTGGGTCTGTTCCCTATAGAAAGAAAGCCCTTGCTTTTCTAATCGGAGGTTATAAGGATTTAGTAGAAATACAGAGATTAGAACATTGTGATTCAAAATAGCCATTTGATGGCTGCAGCAAACTGAGCTTTATATATTTCTGGTGGATTGTCCCTCTTCTCCCAGACCTTCCCCTTCCCTGCATTTAAGATTAGCTGCAAATGCAGAACTTGGGGCAACACCCAGATGAGCCTCGGTATCACAAGGGTACTGGCACCCCATGACCCAAACTGGGCTTTATATATTTCTGGTGGATTATCCCTCTTCTCCGAGACCTTCCCCCTCCCTGCATTTAAGATTAGCAGCAGGCCGGGCGCGGTGGCTCACGCCTGTAATCCTAGCTCTCTGGGAGGCCGAGGCGGGCGGATTGCTCGAGGTCCAGGAGTTCGAAACCAGCCTGAGCAAGAGTGAGACCCGTCTCTACTATAAATAGAAAGAAATTAATTGGCCAAATAATATATATAGAAAAAATTAGCCGGGCATGGTGGTGCATGCCTGTAGTCCCAGCCACTTGGGAGGCTGAGGCAGAAGGATCGCTTGACCAGGAGTTTGAGGTTGCTGTGAGCTAGGCTGATGCCATGGCACTCATTTAGCCTGGCAACAAAGCGAGACTCTGTCTCAAAAAAAAAAGAATTAGCAGCAAATGTAGAACTTGGGGAAACAATGATGTCAGTCTGAGATGAGCCCCGGTATCACAAGGGTGCTGGCACCCCGTGACTAGCAGCACTTCATTGCAAGCCTTAGTCAGGGTGCAAGGAGTTCCTGCTGGGTGGTTTCCCTGCAGCTTCAGATTTTAGCCTGAACTGTGGCAGGGTTTTGCAACTTCCACATTGTTTGAGAAATCTGACAGAGGTATAATGTCTCGGGATGATTCTCTGAGTAAGTTCTACTAAATAATGGGGGTGGAGCATGCATTGCTCTGCATGGACATAGTTCTTTTAAAAGTTAGGATTTTAGGTTATCAGTGGGGCTGGCCTGGAAATGTTATATTTTGAGCTCTAGGTATCAGTATTTTTAGAGGAAAATGAAGTGGTTCTACAAATTACCAAGTTAGAATACAAGTGAGGAAGTAGGAAAACCAATGTGAAATTAGTGTTAAAACTGATGTAGAGCTGAGTGACTAGAGGAGAGGGGTGAGAGGGAACTTTTTTAATGTAGGCTTTTTTGTAATTTTTGACATATGAATATATTACCTATTCAAAAATATATTTAAACATATAGATAAGGCTGGGTACAGTGGCTAATGCCTGTATTCCTAGCACTTTGGTAGGCCAAGGTGGGAGGATCGCTTGAGGCCAGGAGTTTGAGACCAACCTTAGGAACATAACAAGACCCTTTCTCTACAGAAACAATTTATTTTAAATTAGCTGGGCATGGTGGCGCATGCCTGTAGTCCCAGCTACTTGGGAGGCTGAGGCAGGAAGATTACTTGAACCTAGGAGTTTGAGGTTGCAGTGAGCTATGATGATGCCATTACACTCTATCTTGGGAGACAAAGTGAGATCCTGTCTCAAAAAAGAAAATCAAAACAATAAGAGATGGAGTTAGGGTCACATTGGTCTCTTATGCATTTAGGTATTAAAATACTTAATTTCAGTATATTAAAGATGAGTTGCTAGTATATTTTGTTCATTCTTATCAATTTGTTCTCAAATATTTTATTTAGAGAATGCTTCTGGAGATCATGGGGACACTGCCAGTCTTGGTGCCTTGAACCCTGCCTACAGTAACTCCTCTCTTCCACAGTCCACTGAACACTCAGAGGAGCCCTTTGCCACCTACTTTAATGAGAAGATCACCATTCCTGAGGAGGAGGTTAGTAAACGGTCCTTAGTGGGGAACGCTATTATTTGGGAAAGCCTATGAGTGAAAGATCTGCTGGATGATTGAAACTTCATAGCCTCATGTCCAATTTTGGCAGACATTCTCTTGTAATTAAAATAGAAACTGTTAAGGAAATTGAAGGCCTTGAAAATAGTTGCTAGGTGGCACTAGTGAGCATTTTTTGATCAGGAAAATATGAATTTTGTGTTTCTTTTTTATTATGGTCTTCTTTGGGAAGTGGTTGGGCACAGAGCTACTGATATTGTTACTGTGGTTTTAGAATGAGAGGCTGATGGAAAGAGCAGGTAAGGGACTGGCTCTGACTTGGACAGAGAAGTGGCCAGCTTATCAATAAAAAGTACATAAGATGGAAGTGAAACGTGGGCACACACAACATCCAATATGCTAAATCTTTTGATCTTGTAAAGCTGATGTTGTTGCTTCATATGTGATAACAGCTAAATCAGATCATCAGTTTGGAAATGATATTTAGTTTCATCTCTTTTCCTTTTTCATTTAGTACTCTTGTTTTAGCTTTCGTAAACTCTGGGCTTTCACGGGACCAGGCTTTCTTATGAGCATTGCTTACTTGGATCCAGGAAACATTGAATCTGATTTGCAGTCTGGAGCAGTGGCTGGATTTAAGGTGAACATCTAGTCCTACCCCCGTCCTTATAAACACACAATGTACTCGTACATCCATGTTGGATAGTCACCTCAGGGGCTACATGTAGACACTTCATTGGCTGTGATATTTATGTGTAAAGTACTTTCCATCTGGTCTTTTACCCACATAGTTTCCTTGAACAAAAGAAAAACTGCAAATGGGAGAAACCGAAGCTCAGAACGTACACGGTGACCTAGGAGGTCATGTGCAAAACCTGATATAGAACTCAGGCCATTTGATTCCTGACTTGGGCTTTTCCCTCAATATAATGTTTCCCATTCATGTGGCCAAATAAACAAACAAACAAAAAAACCTAGGTGTCTAATAGAGTGTAATGGGGTGATTTTGTTCTTCTTAGTTGCTCTGGGTACTGCTGTTGGCCACCGTCGTGGGGCTGCTGCTCCAGCGGCTCGCAGCTAGACTGGGAGTGGTCACTGGGCTGCATCTTGCTGAAGTGTGTCACCGTCAGTATCCCAAGGTGAGCAATGTACTGTCCTGTCTGTCTCTCACCCATATCATAGGGATGTATGTGTCTGGCACATGTGCTGGCCCCACTATATACTGAGACAGTAGAGGACTGGGGGCCAGTGGCCTTGAAGAATGGGAGAACCAAGGGAAATTCTATAATCCCTCTTGCTGCCAAGCTATGCTTTTTCCCTTCTTGAAAATCAAACTTGAGATTCACTTTTTCTTCAGAATGTTTCCTTAGAAAAATTCTGTTTGAGTAAATATTTACCATTGCTTCTACCTCCTGGCATCTAGCAGTGCCCAGCCCATGGGGGAAGGGGGTACTCTTTCTAAGAACTTTTATTCATACCTCTATGTTGCTTCATCAGTTTACATTATATATGTGTCTCTTCTTTTTTGTTGGCTTTGCCATCACTTTAAAAAAGGTAAATTTTTTCCCTTTTCTTACAAAGTGTATGTGGCAGGATCTTTAGATTTGCTAATAATTAGTTTTTAATTTATCCTCACCCTGGGGGTTTCACTATCCTCTACAGCTTCGTCCTGGACATTATGGGCCTTTCTTACTGTCACGTAAGTAAGGTGAACCCTACGTCTGGACGACATTTTTAACCGAGATTCCTCTTTATATAAGATACTGGTTTGCCTCTTGTTTGTCCTCAATATTTAATCTCCTTTCCTTTCTGTGAGCAGAAGGTATCTCTATCTGCTTTTCAAAAAAACCTTAGTGATTTATAATTTCCTTTAGCTTCTCTTTCTTCATGTATGTTAAAGTTGCTTTGTTGTGACAAGATATTTTTTGGACAGTAGGTATCTGGGGGTGGTTTTTTTTTTTTTTTTGGCTTCAGTGAGCCAGCATAACTAAATTTGTCTTTCAGGTAGATGGTTTGGCCTGATTAGTTTCCTACTTTGTTATATGCCACCCATTTCCAACCATTTCACCCTGAGTTCTTTTGCATATCTGTTCTTTCTCACTTGCTTGTGTACTATTATTACGTTAAAAATCAGCTCCTCTTTTTCATGTTTGATTTGTCTCCTCAGCTATGGTCAGCATAGATGTTTTCTTCTGCAGTCAGTTACTAGTCTGTCTTGATCTCTATTTTAGCATCCTTATTCTCCCCCAAAACTTTGAGTATTGTTTTTAGGTAGGACACTAAGTAGAAGTTAATGAATGGAAGTCCCATTCATTTCTTGAGTGGAAACGAAAGAGAAAAAGGTTAAGATCAACTGGTACCCTGACCTTGGTTCATAGACTCTGCCATGTAGAAGCCACTTTCTTTCTCTACCTGGGAGCCAAAGTGTAGTGATGGGCTGAATAGAGTCAAGTTCTGCTATTTCATCTCTAGTCTGAAGACTTATAAAGGACTATTTATGGGTCAGTGCTAAAATATGAATTCCAAAATACAGGGAAGATTCCTAGAAATGATTAATCAGAGCTATGTCTTGCCAGGCTCAGTGACCCACACCTGAAGTGCCAGTGCTATGGAGGCTGGGGCCAGGTGAGGGAGAATGCTTGAGGCCAGGAGTTTGTGACCAGCTTGGGCAACATAGCAAGACCCTGTCTCTACAAAAAAAATTTTTAAATTAGAAGGTTGTGGTGCTTGCCTGTAGTGTTAGCTATTTGGTAGACTGAGGTAGTAGGATGGCTTGAGCCCAGTGTTTGTGGATGCAGTGAGCTATAATTATGCCACTGTACTCTAGGCTGGGCAACAGACTGATACAGACTGAGACCAGTGTCTAAAAAAGAAAAGAACCATGTCTTTCTACTGTTTGATATTTAGGTCCCACGAATCATCCTGTGGCTGATGGTGGAGTTGGCTATTATTGGCTCAGATATGCAAGAAGTCATTGGCTCAGCCATTGCCATCAATCTTCTGTCTTTAGGAAGGTAAGGGGATTTCCCTCTAGAAAGTAATCAGTGTTTTGGTGGGTTTCAAAGCAAAGGTGAAAACAAAAACCCAATTCCTTTTTAATTTTCAAGATTCAACTTAATTCTTATTTCTTCTGTGGAACCTTTTTGAAGCTCCCTTCCTCTCCCTCAAAAGATGTAGGCTCTAAGTCTTTCATTCCCATGGTGCGTTATACATACCTCTCTTATACAGTGTGTGGTATTTTGTATTGTCATTGTTTATTTGTTTGTTAGTGTATCCCACTAGATAGTGAGCTCCTTGAGGGTGACACCCATACTTTTCAGGTTTATAACCTGACATTAGTAGACTCTTAATCAAAGTTTGAATGAATGTAATCAAGTTGGTGCTAAACTTATCCTAAACTACCCAAGGTCTGGCTTCCTGCTATTGTCACTCCTCCCCAAAGTCCTGGCTTTTGCAAGTGTTTTGTGTCTAGAGAGCTGGTGGGAAGAAAGTGTTTTTTAATGTTTCCTTTCTTTTCACTGCTGTCCATTTTTTATCTCTGACCTAGGGTTCCTCTGTGGGGTGGAGTCCTCATCACCATTGCAGATACCTTTGTGTTTCTCTTTTTGGACAAATATGGTAAGGAGAGTGGGAATGGAGGAGTCAAAGGAACCACTTTCACTCGTGTGGCTAGTGGGGAAATTTGCCTGCTGTGCACTCATTGCTTCATTTTCTCCTTTAGGCTTACGGAAGCTAGAAGCATTTTTTGGCTTTCTCATCACCGTTATGGCCCTCACATTTGGATATGAGGCAAGTGTTACAGGCTATATTCGTTAGCTTTATAAGATGTGGTAGGTTTTTTTTTTTTTTTCTTAGCCTTTCATTATAAAAGACAGTAATTATGCCAGGACGGTTTAATAATTTTATCACATGTATCAACCAAAAGCCAATTCATCCTGGCCAATTTTGTAGACATGATTTTTAGCCAAGATCAGTGTGCAAAAAGGCCTGTAGAGATTACTAAGTTAAAAATGATTAGACTTCCTAGGGCTTTCCAGATTAGACTCCCTAGTTCCACATTGGCCATCCTGACAATAGAATAATTTGCAGAGGGTTAGGGAGGGAATTGCAGGGTTCTTCTTTGCTGTCAGGTAGGGTTCTGTTTTTGCTCATTCTGGTTTATATTAATTGCAGCTTGAACTTTCCCTGTGTTAAAAGAGTTGATGAACTATAGGGGATATAGTTGATATTTTGTGGTTTGTACCCCAACCCAGGAACCCCTAAGAACCAGTACCATTATTTGCAGTATTACCACCATCCTATGTCCATGTGTTATAACTGATTTCTGCTTATTGGTCTGGATGAACTTTAAAAAAACCTAATGTGTCAGTAGATTATGCATCTTGGCCAAAGGCTTCCTAGAGAAATGCTGAGCCAAAGAAAAGTATGTATGAGAAGTATTTATCAATGAGACTCACTACACACTAGTGGAAGCATCAAGTGATTTTAAATGAACACAGGTGAACAGAAGCAGGATAAGTAGAGATAAGTGAAAACTGATTCTGTGTCTTGGGTCTGTCTCACAGGAATTACTGTGAAGCTAATAAAAGTAAGATCCTTAGCCATTTCATTTCTTTTGAATATCAATTACATTCTATACACATCTGTTTTGTGTATCTAAAATATGATGTAAAATATCCCAATATTCCAGTTCTGAATTCTTTGACCCCGATAGGAAGTCCCTTATGTTGTTTGGTTCTTTGATGATTCTGTATTACTTATTATCATAGGTAGTTGCAGAAAGAAGAGGAGGTAAGGCATAAAGATACTGAGTGTTCCCTAGTAGTATGTTACTCCCCCAGTCTCATGTTCTAAGAAAGGCTAATGGTTATTCTGTTGGCATGTAGTATGTTACAGTGAAACCCAGCCAGAGCCAGGTACTCAAGGGCATGTTCGTGCCATCCTGTTCAGGCTGTCGCACACCACAGATCGAGCAGGCTGTGGGCATCGTGGGAGCTGTCATCATGCCACACAACGTGTATCTGCATTCTGCCTTAGTCAAGGTGAGCAAGGCCCTTTTCTCATTGTCCCCTATATAGTTAATGGGATATTTTCCTTTAAGTTCAAGGGCCACAACATTAGTTTATAACTATCAGAGCTCTAAGAAGCAAGTTATTTTCCAAGCCTTGACATTTATAACCTCTACATGCTTGGACTTGGACTCTTGTTTTATGACCAAACTGACCAGAGATTACTGGCCCCACAGAGAAGGTGGGACTAAAGTTCTTCATAAAAGGTCTTAAAGTGTACCAAGCCTCTTGTGTTTAAATTTCAAAAGCTCGAGTGGCCTTGTGGAGGTCAGAAGTACAGGAGTCCAACTAGGATTTTACTAGTCAGTCTTACACAATAATTTGCTGCGAGATTTCAGAAACCTTTATAATTAGGATTATACACCCCATAGGACTGAAATCAGGTTTTTGTAGGTCAGTGGTCCTTCCAGCCACAATAACTGAGAGCTCCATAGTTACTTAGTCACCGTTCCTTATTTGAGGGTGTGCAATGCCATCAAAGAGCATGCAGTTCTTATTCAGTGGACTAGGATGTAGGTGAGTGTTGGATCTTTCACATTTCATCTGCTCAATTATTTGCCCTCTGAATCTCTCAGCTGACTGCAGACTACTGAAATGCTACAGGAGAATTTGCTCCAACAGGTCAAAAAATAACTACTGGTGTTATCTCTCTAGTCTAGACAGGTAAACCGGAATAATAAACAAGAAGTTCGAGAAGCCAATAAGTACTTTTTCATTGAATCCTGCATTGCTCTCTTTGTTTCCTTCGTCATCAACGTCTTTGTTGTCTCAGTCTTTGCTGAAGCATTTTTTGAGAAAACCAATGAGCAGGTGGTGAGTAACCAGGCCCATGGGTGGTAGTGAATGTGAGGGCAAAGTGGAAACTGGAAGGGGGTAGGAAAATACAATGACTTGGAACCCAGGGGAACTAGATCTCTAGCCTCACTGCTGTCCTCTAAAGTCACTGTGTACCAGTCAGACTCTATAGTCCTGGGGCTGGCCAAGTCTAGACCCATTTTTTTCTCTCTCATCAGGAGGACTCAACAAAGAGAAAACAGAAACCGTGACTCAGACAGAATTTGTTTTGTTTTGTTTTTTATAGAGACAAAGTCTTGCTCTGTCATCCAGGAATGGAGTGCAGTGGCATCATCATAGCTCACCGTAACCTCAAACTGCTAGGCTTAGGTGATCCTCCTGCCTCAGCCTCCCAAGTAGCTGGGACCATTGACATGTGCCACCCATACCAACCTAATTTTTTTAAGTTACTTTTTGTAGAGAAGGGGTCTTGCTCTGTTGCCCAGACTGGTCTCAAACTCCTGGCCTCAAGCAGTGCTCATGCCTTACCCTCTGAAAGTGCTGGGATTATAGGCATGAGCCATCACACCTGGGTTGTTTTGTCATTTTGATTTCTGTATCCTCTGTTTTGTTTTATTTTGTTTTTGTTAAGAGGGGGGAAGTGAGGTTCAATTTCCTTTTTTTTTTTTAATTGAGATACAAACTTCTTCTGTCATCCTGGATAGAGTGCAGTGGTATCATCTTAACTCACAGCAACCTCCAACTCCTGGGCTCAAGCAATCCTTCTGCCTCAGCCTCCTGATTAGCTGGGACTACAGGCATGTGCCACCATGCCCAGCTAATTTTTTTTCCTATATATTTTTAGTTGTCCAGCTAATTTCTTTCTGTTTTTTTAGTAGAGATGGGGTCTCGCTCTTGCTGAGGCTGATCTCCAAGTCCTGAGCTCAAATTATCTGCCTGCCTCAGCTTTTGAGAGTGCTAGGATTACAGGTGTCAGCCACGGTGCCTGGCCTGAAGCCTTCTCAAGAGCCTTTCTTCTTGTCCTTGTTTATAATGCCCCAGCATTTATGTTTACCATGCACACACTTAGTAAAGATTTTTGATGACCTAGGGATCTATAAAGATTATGGAGGAATACTCCAAGTTATATTGCTGCCAGTCTCTACCCACAGTACAACCTGTATCCAGTGTTTTCCCTCCAGCCTACCTTTCCTAGGTGCCTGGGTAGGATCTGTAGGAGAGCTCTTATTTGGTCCTTGCTTCTAAAACTAAAGTTGCCCTTGAACTGCTTTGGGTTCTAGGTTGAAGTCTGTCAAAATAGCAGCAGTCCCCATGCTGGCCTCTTTCCTAACGACAATTCAACACTGGCTGTGGACATCTACAAAGGGGTAAGCACGTTCAGATTTGTGATCTTTGCTTCTGAATTAATATTCTTCTAAAATTATCTGGTCTTTTCTGTGAGTTCCTTTCATATTTGAGCATATCTTCCCTGGGATGTCATTCATTTCAGAAGTCAAGATGCCAGACAAGCATTTTTGATTACATGGGAGGGAATAGAGGATCAATTGAAAAGATGAATGGTACACCAGCATTCCTCAAATTCATGTTGATAGCATAGTGTTCCACAGAATGTTAATTGGGGTGAATATAGAAGTGTTCTTAGTAAAGTGTTCGCTCCTGGGCTCCCTCAATCCCTCCATGCTACTTATATTGTGATCTTCCAAGAGTAGAGTATATAGTATGCAGCATTTCCCAGATTTCTTTGAACTTTCCCTGCCCTCCTATTACCATTTTCCAGCATAATGTGTTAAGGAATATAATTTGGGAAATGTAATGTGGTGTAAACCAATTTTTTTAAATGCTTAAAACAGAGGAAATGAAGCTTGGAAGCTTGGAAAAGAGAAAGGGACCAGGCTGAGGAGTAAAGAGCATCTAGTAAAGTTTAGATTAAAAGCCTTTAGAATGAGATCAGGACTTGAGCCGAGTTTCTGGGACAGGGTCAGGACTTGAGCCGAGTTTCTGGTACAGGGCCAGGCACAGCACTTGGTGTAGGTGGGGCATAGCAACGAAGAGGGAGAAATGCCACAGAGAAATGCTGTTTTAAGACTTGTCTAAACAAATTATTGACATAAATGTATCTTTATTCCTGTCTCTCTCAGGGTATTGTTCTGGGATGTTACTTTGGGCCTGCTGCTCTCTACATCTGGGCAGTGGGGATCCTGGCTGCAGGACAGAGCTCCACCATGACAGGAACCTATTCTGGCCAGTTTGTCATGGAGGTATGTGTGGTATGGAATAGAGGGAGATGACAAAGACCTTTGTCACTTCTTAAACCCACGCTTCTGAGGTCTATCCTGAACCTCCCCGAACCTTTCTCTGTTCTTTTTTCCAGATGTTAATCCTGCTCTGTATTTCTTCCAGGGATTCCTGAACCTGAAATGGTCACGCTTTGCCCGAGTGATTCTGACCCGCTCTATTGCTATCATTCCCACTCTGCTTGTTGCTGTCTTCCAAGATGTGGAGCATCTAACAGGGATGAATGATTTCCTGAATGTTCTGCAGAGCTTACAGGTGAGGAGGGAACTAGGGCAACTTATATCCCATTTAGTCAGGCAGCATTATGTACTGCCCGTGGGTACTAAACCTAGTGCTGTGTGCTGGGGGGAAATTGAGAGGAAGAAAGAGGCACAGTCTGCAGTAAACAAATATGAAATTCCTGGCATCCGAAAGGCTTTTAGAAATGGATTGGTTTTTTAAGCCTATTGAATGGGAATTATGAGCTTTACTGATATGTAGAACACAAAATTACAGTTCATTAATCTAAGCCACAATTAAATGAACATACAGAGCACTGTGCTAGGTCCTATAGAGGTTAAGAAGACAAGTCACATACAAATATTTGTAAAGACACTTGGGATCTTAACTGATGCTAGGTTTCTCACAGCTGTACAGATTCAACGAAATGCTTGAGCATGTCAGAATGATAATCATTTCTCATGGAGAAGATGAGTCAGGGTTCATGTTTTACTTTCACTAGCCATGCAGTTCTTTTCTTTTTTCCTTTTTTTTTTCTTTTTTTGAGACAGAATCTCACTTTGTTGCCCAGGCTAGAGTGAGTGCCGTGGCATCAAGCTAGCTCACAGCAACCTCAAACTCCTGGGCTCAAGCAATCCTCCTGCCTCAGCCTCCCGAGTAGCTAGGACTACAGGCATGCGCCACCATGCCCAGCTAATTTTTTCTATATATATTAGTTGGCCAATTAATTTCTTTCTATTTATAGTAGAGACGGGGTCTTGCTCTGGCTCAGGGTAGTTTCGAACTCTTGACCTTGAGCAATCCGCCCACATCGTCCTCCCAGAGTGCTAGGATTACAGGCGTGAGCCACTGCGCTTGGCCAGCCATGCAGTTCTCTAGGGTGATGTGAAGACCCCTAGTAGCCCCATCTGATATTACTTCTTTCTTTTCCAGCTTCCATTTGCTCTTATACCCATCCTCACCTTTACAAGCTTACGGCCAGTAATGAGTGACTTTGCCAATGGAATGTGAGTATTTTCCTCTTAGTTCCCCAAACGGGACAGTGATATGTGGGAAAAGATGTGTTAATCCAAGAAGCTAGTGAGAAATGATTCATACAGGGGAGATATATGCTTTGAGAGACGATTACTAGGTGCTTACTCTTTGGGTTAAAAACAGAGACTGTGACTGGAGCAAAGGAGAAAGTACATTTTTCATCTTGGGGGATGAACGCTTTAGTTTTAGGCTATCAGCGACCACTGAAGTTTGAAGTACCTTAATTCTTTGTTAAATCTTTTTAATGAAGGCCGGGCGCGGTGGCTCACGCCTGTAATCCTAGCTCTCTGGGAGGCCGAGGCGGGTGGATTGCTCAAGGTCAGGAGTTCAAAACCAGCCTGAGCAAGAGCGAGACCCCGTCTCTACTATAAATAGAAAGAAACTAATTGGCCAACTGATATATATATAAAATTACGGGCATGGTGGCGCATGCCTGTAGTCCCAGCTACTCGGGAGGCTGAGACAGAAGGATCGCTCGAGCCCAGGAGTTTGAGGTTGCTGTGAGCTAGGCTGACGCCACGGCACTCACACTAGCCTGGGCAACAAAGCGAGACTCTGTCTCAAAAAAAAAAAAAAAATCTTTTTAATGAGAAAGGCATAAGTTAGTATCTTTTATATATATATATTCCTTTTGAAGGATATATGGGCATTGTTGCATTTCTAGGGATGTAAATATTAGGGATTACTTGAAGATATTTTTTTCCCCTCTTTCTCCCTGTCATGGTCTATCTTTGTCCCGTTTGACCTAATCTGGAGCAGAATAAGAACCAGTTTTCACTTCATTTTGAAATGCCTCTACCGCCTTTCCTGTTTACCCCACAAGATGCAGTTTCCTTTTCTGTTTTTGACTAGGTTGGCCTAATCCATCAGTGACTGTGCTCATTCCTTTACAGAGGCTGGAGGATTGCAGGTGGGATCGTGGTCCTTATCGTCTGTTCCATCAACATGTACTTTGTAGTGATCTATGTCCAGGAACTAGGGCATGTGGCATTATACGTGGTGGCTGCTGTGATCAGTGTGGCTTATCTGAGCTTTGTGTTCTACTTGGTAAGTCCAGGCTGGAGGTGGTAGGGGCACAGTTATCAGGGATGGTAGAAGTGAGACTGACTGACATTTAGAAGTAAACAGATCCTAGAGAGCACACAGCAATCTACCTGCAGTTGCTGAGACAATTTATGTGGAATTGTCAAATGAGCTATTTATAAAACAATATTTCAAACTGTAAAATTTACTTTGGTTCCTAAGATCTGTCATTTTTTGATTTCTGTTACTTCTATATGGTTTCCATTTTCAATTCCTAATAAGTAAGTGCAGTATGTTTGAGGAAGTACAAGGAGGGTAGCAGTACAGAGAGTGGAGAGAGGTACAAGATGGAGTTGGAGAATGGGCTGTGCAGTGTGATTTAGATCTTTGGGTGGGACACATGCGGGTGCACACCCCAGCTCTACTCTACCACTTACTAGCTGGCCAAGGAAATAAGGAGAGATATTCTCTCACTGGATTATTCTAGAGTCATTTTCAAAAATTTTGGGGGAGAGTATTTAAGGCAGGCCCTTGAGTAGATTAGCTACTTCTCCCCATGTAGCCAAGTCCTTAAGATAGGGGTCGCCACAGAGGATAAGGAAATTGATAGGCAATGGAGAGAAATAAAAGAATACAGAGACTAAGGTATAGTTTATAGTTATATATATATATATATATATATATAAAAAGATCAGATATAACACAATGGGGTTACTTAGAAGACTGGCGTATCTCCATAAATGCCAGCAATATGGTTAGATTCATACAGGTGTTTATGATCATAGACATCAATTGCCAGTTGTCAGGGTTACATATTTGCATATCAGGGAATGCAGTTGCTAGGGGATGCAGGTAATGGGTTAGGGCCAAAAGTCCTCTCAAGGGGCTTCTAATCTATCTTGGTGAACAGGTACAAAGTCTTTCCGGGGCTAACTTCTATGTTGCAAAAGGTAGTTGTCAATTAATAAAGGTATAACAAAAGAGGTATAGTGACTCTATATTTCTTTGATTAGTTATGGTGGACTTAAAGATAGACAGGAGAGAGCAGGAAACCCATCTCTAATAAATAGGTTGTCTATAACCATCGGGGTGCATCTCTGGACAAAGTGCACTCGTTGTTTCCAGCTCCCATCCTGTGGGCCATATTTGTCTTGTCTTGTCTTTCAAGACACAGGGAAGCTCACAGATTTTGAGATACCGGGAAGCCTTCCTGGAAAATATCCCTACCGGAGATTTGAGAGCTCTCCCATGATAGCAGCCTCTAATAAGTGAACCATTGAGTCCACACATTCCTTCAGGCAAAACCCTGCAAACTCCTGTTTCTGTATTTAACATAGTAATATAGGGCAATACAATAAAATAATGATCTTATGAGCCACATCTCATTAATTCCTCAATCATATTTCTGAACAAAAAATCATGGTTATAGAACCACAGCTACGTGGAAAAGGTATGTAAAATTTATATAGAGATCATAAAGAGATCAAAAAAATTTTAAATTAGATTATGTCAAAATAGTAAAAGTAATTGTCTTAGGAAAGTGAGAGTATGGATATATTCTTCTGTTTTTGAAATCTTTACCTTTGCTTACTTTAACAAAAAACAGCCAAAGCAACAATAACAGCGAGTCCTCCTCTCAGTTCTATACAGGTTTCTGTGAAAAATAGGAGGTTTAGGGATAAGGAACAGCAAAATTTATGCCATTTCTACTACAGAGAATGGCTAAAGATAGAGATTGGAAACCTGCTGTTGATATGTAGAAGGCTTACCTGGTCCCCATGCCAATATGCTGCATGCTAGGTATTCGATTGAGAAAAATCACTTGAGTAAATATGGAGAAATATCTTGGATTGATATATGCCTTCTTTCTCTTCCCCGAAAATCTTGCACACACAAAGATTGTACTGACTCTATGATCTAGGGACTGACTTCAAAGAAAAGTAATAAACTGATTGTGTCCTTAACAGGAATTGTTTTCTAAAATTCACTCCCCTAGAAGTTTGGGAAATGTTTTCATAATGCCGATTAGTTATGAAAGTGCCAAGTTTTCCTCAGTCAGCCTGAGACTAGTGAGATTGTCAAAGACGAAATTTTAGAGGTGAGGGCTGATTCTAGAGCAGGTTGCTGCTGTTGAGCTCCAAAACAGGAACTTCACAGAGCAGCTCAGGAGACTGAGCCAGTTGTATTAATCTGTGATTCATTCTCCCCATTATGAGGAATGGGGAGGACTGGAGAAAAGTGGTCTTCAGGGAACTCCCAGTTGAATAAAAGAAACCACAAGCACAAAGCAGTAGGACAGAGAGAACTCAGTATTGAAAATAGTATGGAGAAACTATGTGGAGGAAGACAGATTTCAGGATTTTTTGAAGGAGGAGTGGGGTTGGGAGAATGACTTGTGCAACCTGTGCCGGTAGAAGAAGGGCAAAGCTGGATATTGAAGGAAGGGAACAGGTTTGCATTTGAGCAGGTGTATGAGCAGTCATGGTGGGTAAGAGGGCTCTTCGAAGAGCCTGGTGAATGATGACCCTATTTTATCTTTCAGGGTTGGCAATGCTTGATTGCACTGGGCATGTCCTTCCTGGACTGTGGGCACACGGTAAGCATCTCTAAAGGCCTGCTGACCGAAGAAGCCACCGGTGGCTATGCTAAGTAAACACTGGATTAGTCTGTCTGTCTTGCGCAGGTAGCCATCAGAGCCAGTGTGTTTCTATGGTTTACTGTGTGAACATAGCTAAAAGTATGTGCTGATGCACAGACAGCATTTAGGACTCAAATGTTAGTTGGTAGAGACTTTCTTTCATATGTGTTTGAAAGATGGAATTATTTTTGTTTACTTGACCTCCTTACATGGGACCTGGATTAAGTAGGATCTTTAAAAAGCTGACATTTGCTACTATCATTCCAACACTAAACTCTTGAGTAGCTGCGTAAGGGCTATCTAGCTTGTTTTATCCTTTTCAGAGATAATCATCTATGCATGATTCTTGACCAGGGCATATGTTTTAACATTTTTTAAATAATACATACAACTGAATGAGTATCCAGGTTTTATTTATCAAAATAGAGTGGATTATCAAAGGCAGAATAATTTTTATGCATACCCTTTCAGTTATTGTAATTATACAAAAATTGCAACTAGGGTGGTCATCCAGACAAAATATAAAATTAAGAGACAGGCTTAATTTTAACTTATTATTTTAACATATTTCCACTTTAAATTTCTCAGTGGAACTTAAAAGGGGTGAGAAAACAAAGAAGGTAAAAAATGGACAATTAGCAAAACTCCCCTGTAGGTGGTAGTTACTAATCACCTTTGGAAGATCTTCCTCAGAGATTGAAAGCTTATCAGGGTTTTTTTGGGAGTTCTGATTTTAATAAACTTTGTGTTAGTATAGAGCTCTCTTGATGATATATAGTCTTGAGCACATATAGTTGTAAAACCTTCACTTTCCTCCTCAAGGAGGGCGGTGATAGAAAAAGATGGTAGCATTTATGAACTGACATTCTCATGAGATTTTGGGGGTGGGGAGAAAACACTCAAAGGAGGAAGAAGAGCCATCTGTTTTATTCCTAAAAGCCAAGTCTCACCAGAATTCAGCATGTTGTTCTGATGCACCGCTCTGCCTCCTGCCCAAGAGGATTTGTAAGGCAATCTCAGGAGCTGTGGAGCTAATCCTTGCAAAGCCAGCTCTCTCTCTCTCTCAGCAAGTCAGTAGGTGTCACTGTGGTTGCAGTGTTGTCTGTCGGCAAGGTTGAACTGGGCTACCTCGCTACAGCTGTTTCCTCAGAGGGAAAAACTTTGAGACCAGATCATGGAGCTTTGGAATCAGAGGAAATGGGTGTCTTGAGCATAAAACTGCTGTCCTTTAGCCACTTGTGACATTTTTACATGTGAAGCCTGAGACCTGTGGTTATTTCAAATCGATCACATCTGTCTGCTGGAGATACATAATCAAAAACCATTTATAGCCATTGACGTGGTGAGAACAGTAATGGGAATAGATTGAAGGACTTCTGATTTTTGGAGCTTTCCTTCTGGAATCCTGCCTGATTGATGTTTCCTGTTCATCTGAGCCCCTACAGCCATTATTACTGATATTTTGCACATCGTCAAAACTACAGACTAGATGGACTGTCTTTTTTAAAGCATTAAGGGTACACTACTGTGTTTTACTGACTAGACATTTTCCTTAGCCTCTCAAGTAATAAAATGTAGAATCATGAATGAGAATTCCCCTAACTGTTCCTCCTCATATCTGCCCCTTACCAGAATCATTCCCCAAACTGGTTGTAAAGGTACTCTGTGAAGATAATCAGGGACTGATATCTTAAGCTCTTGTCTGGCTGCAGTCAGTGAAGGCCAAACTGACAGAAAAAAATTCTTCATAAAAATATACAGTAACATTTACCTTTTCCCAGGTCTGGGTGGATCCAATCAGTCTGAGATTCACAAACATTTAGGAGCAAACATAGCTGCTAGTATTCTTTTTTCTTTTTGTGAGACAGAGTCTTGCTTTATTGCCCGGGCTAGAGGGAGTGCTGTGTTGCCAGCCTAGCTCACAGCAACCTTTAACTCCTGATCTCAAGTGATCCTCCTGCCTTGGCCTCCCAAGTAGCTGGGACTACAGGTGCACACAACCATGCCTCAGTAATTTTTTCTATTTTTAGTACAGATAGGGTCTTGCTCTTGCTCAAGGTGGTCTTGTACTCCTGAGCTCAACTGATCCTCCTGTTTGGCCTCCCAGAGTGCTAGGATTACATAGCCACCACTCTTGACCTGCTAGTGTTCTTTCAAAGGTTATATAGGTGACTTGTAATGGTAAAAAATTTCTTCCCAGTTAAATGACACTCTATAATACTAATTGTGTGGTATTTTACATTGTTAAAAACACTACCATAGCTTATTCCATTTGATCCTCACAGAGAGAAAGTATATTTCAACCATTATGCTAGGTGCAATAAACAATGCATAGAAATTTAAATCCTCCATTGACAGCATGTGTGGTACTTTTTGGCAGTGTGTTTGTGTGGAATGTTTAAAGACATACAATTGTACTTTATAAAATTGGTCCTTGTTCTCCTTATACGTCACATGAAATAACTGTGCTGCTACAGTATGCTGGAAATTAACTGGGATTTGGAAGAGCTTCAGTTTGGGAATCCTGCTAGTAGCATTAGGAGTGGCTACAAGTGAGCTTTAAGTAACCATTTAACAATATGTAAACTTGGTTTGTAATTAAAAATTTTTTTTCCAATTTGGTTTCCTGGGTATTTTTTAAACCTTGAAAATACTTCATTATTGGGGTTTAACAACTCGATAATACCAAAACATCAGTTACTACCTGGAATGACACACTTGGCCCACGCTATTAGTGATTCCATCCTTAGAAGAGATAGAGAAATAAATAGGTTTAGTCCTCAGAAGGCATGGATTAATTGCAGATGCTAACAACACTTATTTCTTCATCAAATCATTTTACTAAAGGACACACCATTAACTATGTTTAAACTTGAAAAAAATTTTGTTCTGCCTTTCTCTATAAGCTATTTTTCTATCTATATAGTCTTGCTTCCCTATTGAAGTAGGCATGTACATTCTGTATATGCTACCAATAAAAATTAGTATTTGAAGAGAAACCAAAATTATTGAGCTTAAAAAGCAATGAGAATTTTGGCAGACCTGTTATAAATGGAAATATTGGCACCATTTATTTAAATAAAGGCAAAGCTCAGGCATAATAAACTATTAGCCCTGTCACTGGATACGTGACAGGAAAATCTGAGCACTTCATTTGTCCCAAGAGTGTCACTAGAACTTCATTTTCCCTTGTTGCAAGCTTTTCTTGCCTATCTTATAGGAGCTGAATAGAATAAGTAACACTATGGGAGTAATCTGGGAAGAATTTTGTTTTCCATGTTGTCCTTCCTCATTTAGCTCTCCTTACTTTGGGTTTAATTTCAGAACTAAAATAGGATGGAAAACAACTTTTAAGATCCTGATTTGAGATATTTTCTTTAGCTCTGCCCTCTAGAATGTCTTCTGCTCCTTTTGGTAGGACCAATGAATTTAAATGTGTCCGCTTCTATCGGCATTTATTATTACCACTCATTATGTGCTAGTTCCAACCTAAGCACTTGTATTATCTCATTTAATCCTATAACAACAAGAGGATCAGCTTCCATATAGACGAATCAACTGAAAAGCCAAAAGTATCTTGCCCACATCATATTGCTAATAAGTGGACAATTGGTACTTGAACAGCTTAACTCCAGAACCCATATTTTCATTCCCAAACTATCCTGTATCATATACAGGCTTTTTATGTTGGGTCAAGACACCGTGCTTTGTGTAGCAGCACCAGGAATATCAACAAATCAGATCATTTGCTTGATACTCTGATTAGTGCTGGAGTATGTTTTAGCTCAGAAGTTGCCAACTGGTAGGTTTTGTTTGGCCTGTGCAAAATTTTAAAAAGTTTGAATGCTTCTGGTAGGTGTAGAGAATGAATAGTGCCCTCTATGGTCCTACCCCAGCAATAGCCACCAACTATTAGTTATTAAAGTTTAGTAGGCCAGGCATGGTGGCTCACACCTGTCTGTAATCCTAGCACTCTGAGAGGCCGAGGTGGGTGGATTGATCAATCTTAGGAGTTCAAAACCAGCCTGAGCAAGAGGGAGGCCCTGTCTCTACTAAAAATAGAAACAAATTAATTGGCCAACTAAAAATATAGAAAAAAATTAGCCGGGAATGGTGGCACATGCCTGTGGTCTCAGCTACTTGGGAGGCTGAGGCAGAAGGATCATTTGAGCCCAGGAGTTTGAGGTTGCTGTCAGCTAGGCTGACGTCACCGCACTCTGGCAACACAGTAAGACTCTGTCTCAAAAAAAAAAAAAAAGTTTACAGACTCAGTGCCAAGGGACAATAAGGTTCCCAAAGCCCTAAGTAATAACAGGGCTAAAATAAGACTCAATGGTATCCCAAAGTTTGTTGTGGAGAAAGGAAAAAGAAATAACTTCACAGATCCCAACACAAACCATCTGGATTCAGTTCTCCAGGAGTAGGGACTGCAAATGTGTTTTAAAAGCAGCGTAGGTGATTCTGATTCAGCCTGGCAAACATTTGGAGGTCATCTTCCTCTCTTTTAGCACATGCGATTTTATGTTTTTGTTTTTCATGAAAGGCTTTTCTCTGCTCAGTTACCAAAGGACAATGGGGCCAGGATTACAGGGCTCATATTTAGACCATTTGAAATTTGATTCCTAATACAATATGAAAATACAAGAGTACTCAGTGCATGTTTACTCTTACTATCCTGATCTGAAAGCACCCATCCTGAGGCAGTGTGTCACAAGAATAGAGTGCTAATTTCGCTGAGGATATTTGGCACTATCTCTACCCTTAACTATTTCAGCTTCTATTATTTTACACATCGGAAGCCATTAATGTGTGTATTTGTAAGCCATTTCTTTTCAGAAATAAAAATCAAGGCCGGGCGTAGGGGCTCAGGCCTGTACCTAGCGCTCTGGGAGGACGAGGTGGGCAGATTGCTCAAGGTCAGGAATTCGAAACCACCCTGAGCAAGAGCGAGATCCTGTCTCTACTATAAATAGAAAGAAATTAGTTGGCCAACTAATATATATAGAAAAAATTAGCCAGGCATGGTGGCACATGCCTGTAGTCCCAGCTACTTGGGAGGCTGAGGCAGCAGGATTGCTTTAGCCCAAGAGTTTGAGGTTGCTGTGAGGTAGGCTGACGCCAGGGCACTCACTCTAGCCTGTGCAACAAAGTGAGACTCTGTCTCAAAAAAAAAAGAAAAGAAAAGAAAGAAATAAAAATCAATATAGCAGTACTGAAAAAAGGCCTAAATTGATATGCTAATTTTAGGTACTTAAGTGTCAATTTCAGTATCTAGATACTAGAAAATCATTCTAAACCTCTTCTATCTTTTTGTCCTTAGTACCACCTGGGATTGACTGCGCAGCCTGAACTTTACCTTCTGAATACCGTGGATGCTGATTCACTTGTGTCTAGATGACTGTCAGCCTGAGAGACTATATAAGAACCACTTTTTCTAAGCTTTTTTGTGCCAGGTGTCCTGTTAACATATCTCTGTTAGTTCAGAGGTGAGTTTCGTTCAAATGTTTTGAACAAAAGACAAAGATTTCCTCATGGGAAGGGTGTGAAAAGCTGGACAGCTGTAAGTGTAGGTTGGAGACCCACCCCCTCACAACAGTCATACAATAGCCAGAGTTAAGGCCTGTGATGGGCACACACCCCTATGGGCTTGTGTCTTAACTTCTGGTATATATATTTATGTAAACCTGAACATAGAGTTTGGGTAGAGTTTTAAGGTTACATAAAAGTGATAGATCTTTTGTATTTTTTTAAAAAATATTGTTCAGATAAATCAGTTATTTGTTTTGTCTGGATCATAAGTGAGAAAGGACACGGAATAATGTTCTTTTTCACAATGAACTGGTCAGGTTGACTATCTTATAATGTGATATTTTACTATGCCAGTTAAGTTTCACTTCAATCTTAATTGACCAGAGTATATCCTTGATATATACTGATATTAACACATCATTTCTAAAGAAAACATTTCTTCTATTAGGCAATCATTATTTAACCCTGGTTATCAGCCTGCTTATAATTGTCTTTGTGGTCACTTTTCTTGAATTTTTTTGTAGTCATTAAACAAAGATGTGATAGCATTTGCCAAAGAGTAAACTGAATACCTGGTAACAAGATCCAGAAACCATACTTTAACCAATGATCAGTTTTCCATGCTGCATTGTAACTCATCCCATTCTGGTTTTCAAGTTTTAGGTAGAAAAGGAAGAAACTTCTAACATTTAACTTTGTAAGTCCTAAGCAAGATAATGAAGGTGTTAATCTTTTTTCTAATGTTTGTATAATTCTATGTCTTTTCTTCCCACTTTTCCCATTAATATTTCAAAAACCATTTCTAGTTCTAAAGTTTTTTTCTAGGGGCAGCAAATATTTGTATTGTTGAATCTCCTAGGGACTGTTAAACATTTCACTTTAGAATGCATATTTATACCAAGTAGTATGAGATTAGTACTAGGGGACTTGGAAGATTAGTCCACATGTCATAAATCATCTGCTACATGTAGGTTACCTTTTTTTTTTTTTTTGGCCTTCCTAACCAGGAATTTTTTTATTAACATTTTTGTAATAAAAAATTCCACATTAAAAATTGGAAAGCGTTGTCATAATTTTCTGGTCGAAGAGTCAGAAGATTCACAATACAGAGCCCTCCTGGAAATGCAGTTGGCTGGAACTGAATGGCCGCCGTCCGTTTCCAGTGGCACATGCTCCAGGGTGATACATCCGCCATCACATCACTCCTCATCTGCACACCCTGCAGCATTTGTGTTGCTTTGAGCATCACTTTCCTCTCTCAGCTTTAGAGCTAAAGATAGGACGTCTCTGCCTTATTTTAAAACATACCATGTTTCAATAAGACTTTTTAAAATCAGGACATTGCCCATCTTCATTTATAATGAATGTGGTTTTTCAAAAATGACACTTTAAATTCCTTCATTTCTAATTCAGGGGTTCTTGAAAATTCAGATAGTAAGAGCAGCAACCCTACAACCCAGGTTAGAGTCCTTCTGATCCTAAAATTGAGACTGACTTTTTAAGCTTTTACTTAAAAAAGAGGCTTACTTAAAACATAAGTTTCAGTGTTTTAGTATCTTTATACAAGACAACTCTAGATGAACTGATTTGTTGGAATCCCAAGCCCCATCCCTGGGCAGTTTCATTTTTTAGTAGTTTCATTACCAGAGAATGTTGGAGAATAAAAGGTAAAAAATAAAAACACCCTGTTTTGCATGTCTTCAAAAGGTAAGGTGGTTGGTTAAACTGAGGTTAAGTACTTGAGGTGTTTCTATAGCTCGACTCCATTCTTTATATGTTGCTAGGAACAGAGTAAAGTTTACAAGTGTAGCCCCCAGGTCCTACAACCCTTATAATCAGAAAATTTTACAATAAAGCAAACTGAATCATACCAGTAGAGGGAGGCTGATCTTTAAAGAACAAGTCTTGAGTAAGCATTTTGCTAAGCTAAGAACATTTAATCATTCTTTAATTTATGATTTACAAATCTACATTTCTATGTTAAGTGTGCTTATACAGATATTGAAATATTTGATCATAAGAGTAACCTAGGTGCAGTCACTCAGTTCCTGGGGTTCAGCATTATGGAGTCACTTTGTTAAAGGATGCTCTGACAGTATACACCATAATGTCAGAAAAAGTGCAATTAAGTAATTGTTTTTTTTTTTTTTTTTTTTTTTTGGTTTTTTTTGAGACAGAGTCTCACTTTGTTGCCCAGGCTAGAGTGAGTGCCGTGGCGTCAGCCTAGCTCACAGCAACCTCAAACTCCTGGGCTCGAGTGATCCTTCTGCCTCAGCCTCCCGGGTAGCTGGGACTACAGGCATGCGCCACCATGCCCGGCTAATTTTTTTATATATATATATCAGTTGGCCAATTAATTTCTTTCTATTTATAGTAGAGACGGGGTCTCGCTCTTGCTCAGGCTGGTTTTGAACTCCTGACCTTGAGCAATCCGCCCCCCTCGGCCTCCCAAGAGCTAGGATTACAGGCGTGAGCCACACCGCCCGGCCTAATTAAGTAATTGTTACTGAGCAGCTGCTGCTACCTGTGTGTTGGTCTAATATAAAAAGCAGGCAGAGTATTATATATCCAGGCATATGAAATAGTTTAATCAGCAAGTAAGGCATCAAGGGTTATAACAGGCAATGAAAATAGCCTTCTCAATTTTAGACATTACAACATTGGTCTCCTAAAGGTTTGTCCAGAAAGTATTTTGCAAAGTAAACTACGGTATGTTATTGTTCATAGGGTCTTCCTGCAGTGACACTGCCACTTTACCCAAGCCAATGTGGGTAAATAGGCATCTTAAAGACTTCCTAACTTTTCTCCAAATGTGACTTTACCTCGTAGTTTAAACAGTTTGTGGGTCCTCATGCACAGCTACTTTTTCTTTTTTTAGAGACAGGGTTTTGCTCTGTTGCCAGTTTGGAGTGTGGTGGCGCAATCACAGCTGACTGCAGCCTCCAGTTCCTGGGCTCAAGCAATACCCTGGCCCCAGCCTTCTGAGTAGGTAGGACTCCAGGTGCATGCCACCATTCCTGGCTAATTTTTTAAAAATTTGGTAGAGATGGGGTCTCACTATGTTGCCCAGGCTGGTCTTAAACTCCAGGCTTCAAATGATCCTCCCAAAGTGCTGGGATTACAGGAGTGAGCCACCACACTCAGCCATAGCTACTCTTAATAAATACTTTGCATTGTTTTTTTCAAGCAGCAAATATATTAACTTTATTTCTCTCAAAGTAAGATTACAGAATTGTATAACCTATTGGGTTTTGTAAGAAAAGTTAGTTTCTAATTAAACACTGTTAATCTATTTTTAATGCTGGGTGTATACGGAGAGAGTAGAATCTTTCCAGTAGCCTGGTTAGAAATATCTTTTCATTGCACAATGAGCTTGAAAGGATGACTTATTTCTATGCCAGCTGTCCTCACTTTCCTGACCTTAATGGAACATACTAGATCCAGCTGCTGGAATATTTACTCTAATGGAATAAAGAAAGCCGCTGGATTCTTTCCTTGCCTATTTTTGGTGTTAACCAAAATATGTATATTTGTTGTTAGCACCAGAGGAGCTTCATGTTAGGTACAAAGTGGTTAACTTTTTAAATAATTATCTGTGCCAATAGGAGAAAAATGTATATAATATACAGATCAGTGGGTTAATATCTAAAATGCAGACATTTTCAGATATTCCTACATCTTTCCCTTCCTCAAATACTGGATTTCACCTTCCTGTCAGTATAACCCTCCATCACAGGAAAAGACTGAAGAAAAGGAAATACCCACCAGAAATCATCTTACAGTACAGACACTATATTCTTATTCTTTTTTTTTTTTTTTTTTTGGAGATGATGTCTTGCTCTGTCACCCTGACTAGAGTGCAGTGGTGTCATCATAGCTCACTGCAACCTCAAATTCTTGGGCTTCAGTGATCCTCCTGCCTCAGCCTCCCAAGTAGCTGGGACTACAGGTATGCACTACCACACCTGGTTTAATTTTCTATATAGATGGGGGTCTCACTCTTGCTCAGACTGGTCTCAAATTCCTGAGCTGAACCAGTCCTCCCACCTCAGCCTCCCAGAGTGCTAGGATTATAGGTATGAGCCACTGCATTGGGCCCAGAAATTATTCTTGATTTTATTTCAGTAACAACTTTGATTTTCTTTTCTGCTCTCTCTCTTTGGCTTGGAATCTTTGAGAGTATGCCTAAGTCAAGACACTTATGACTTCAACAAAGTCTAGTTAATTTTGTAGAACCCTAGGGCAATTACACTGGAGTTTGAGGCCACAAGTATAATTAACATCTACTTTGGTTTCTCGTGTTTTCTACAGTGCCATACCACACTAGCAACAGCACTTCTGGACTAAATTCTTTGCCATCTTGGGGAGTGGAATTTGTTAGCAGTTTACCTTTGTATTTCTAGAAACACTTCATTTTTATACTCCGGCTGGTTTCGAACTCTTGACCTTGTATAAAAATGAGTACAGGGGAATGTAATTGATCCTGATCACTGATTCTTGGTCAACTTTTTTTAAGAAAAACAAAACCAGTTTAACAGTTTTTTGCAATACGAGCTTGTGATTTATGCTTACTCTATAAGTGGAAATCAGGATTGTTTTAAAGATTTAAGGTTGGGTATTTTTGAACACTCATCTAGGATGTAACAGCAAAGTTGAGTAAAGTATAACTGTTAAACAAGTTCCAGCTTTTCTCAAGTTAGTTATATATTGTAGGATGTACTTAAGCAGTAAGTGTATTTAGGTTAAAGCAGTTGAATTACGTTAAATGTTGCTATGATACCACATGATATTGAACATTGTTTGGATGCATGTTGAAAGACATGCTTTTTTGTAAAACTCAATATAGGAGCTGTGTCTACAATTAAAGTGAAACATTTTGGCATGTTTGTTAATTCTAGTTTCATTTAATAACCTGTAAGGCACGTAAGTTGAAGCTTTTTTTTTAAGTTAATGGGGAAATTTGAGACGCAATACCAATACTTTAGGATGTTGGTCTTGGTGTTTGTACGAAATTCTGAGGCCTTGATTTAAATCTTTCATTGTATTGTGATTTCCTTTTAGGTATATTGCGCTAAGTGAAACTTGTCAAATAAATCTTCCTTTTAAAAAAAAAAAAAATGAGTACACAAGTATAAAATGAGTACACAAATATATAAATGTTACACATTGTGTTTGTGGTAAAATACTCAAGATTCTATATAAGAATGAGGTGAACAGTGGTGACCCAACTTTATATTGCAATATAGCCATTCTCTGATGTAATTATTACCCATTCTACAAAAGAGTTTATGAAACCTTAATTACTTTGCCCTAGTAAGGGAGAATTAAGTGATGAATAGAGTGTCACATTTAACATGGATGTAGAAAAGTTTTCTGTAACCACTATATAACTACTAATTTTCAGATTAGTTTGGCATGATATAGATTATTTTCTGACACTAACTAGAAAATAAAAAAAATTTAATTCAGAAAATCATGTCCTATGTTCTAAAAGACATCCAAGGAATTTCTAAGTATTTATGATTGTTGATTTGGAAATCAACTTCTTAAAACACTGAGACTTAATATAAAAAGGCTCTGAGAATTCTGTGATACTTCTGCAGTCAAATTTGCTACATATTGAAAATTCATTCTTCGTAAAATAGTTTTCAGATGTCTCTGTCTTTCTTGCTTCCAGTATGTAGATTTATTTTTTGGAGACATTGAAGAATCGAGGTCGAATGTAATCCTTATACATAGAATAGAGAACACCTAGGAACAAAAAGATGTATATCAATAGGGTATCCGTGGGAAACAAACGCTGAATTTCTTCCACTTTATTTTTCTGAAATCAGCCCACAATTTAAAAAGAAACAAACAAAAGCCTTCCCTCATACTAATTTTTAGCTTGGATCATACAAGTGGCCCTAGACAAAACCCTTACAAAAACAAAACTATAAGAGCGCCCTTTAAGATCAGTATCAATCTGAATTTATTTATAATGTTACAATGTCACCCTAAAGTTTGAATTTTAAAATATTGATGAAATGTTAGGAAAGTGGGCAAATTTGACCAGATATTAAGATAAGGCATCTCAATTTAGCAAACATTTATTCAATGTCTACTTGTGCTCAGTATCCTGAGGAAAGTAATGGTGAATGGATCTAATCCCTGCTTCTGGGGGTTTACAGTCTAGTGGGTGAACTAGCTATGAGTTTAGGCAGATAATATATATGGCTTCCACAGGTCCAGGGCCATGCAGAAAGGGGGAAGTAGCCAGGGGAAACAGGCTGAGAAAGAGAGAAGCTGCTTCAATTAATTGCAGGGATATCAGCAGGTGTGCACACTCAAATGCAAGTTAAGGAGTCACAGATGTATTAATAAGCTACAACTCACACACCATCAGCGCCAGCCCCAGCCCAACTCAATTATCAAGGCATCAGCTATCCAGTAGAATGTCTAAACTAAATCCTTTACTTCACTTTCCTTCTAATTTCTTTCTGATACTGCTTGTTCCTATCTTCACAGAGTGCAGAGAGGATAAAGGGTCCGTAAGTTAGTTCTCGTATATCAACATGATAGGAAATTGTGGTAGAAGTCTGTGTAATTTTCTAATGAAATAGCACTATAACTATAATTGATGGATAAAATTTAGCCAACTTTTTTTTTTTAACTTGAATCATTGTGGTATATATGGAGATAATATTCTCAGATTCAGAGAGTATTATAGGACTCATTTCCTTGTCCTTTGGCTTATTAGACACAGACGATTCTTACCTCTTGCATACTTCCTAAATATTGGTGTTGGCTGAAGTTCCGATATGAACTTCTCAACTCATCCACACCTGTGGCTTCACTGGTAAGCAAGTTACATCTCTAAGTTAGATCTCTTCTGAGTGTGAATCCAGTCTGTGTAATTTTCTAATGAAATAGTACTATAACTAGAAATGATGCATAAAATTTAGCCAACTTTCTTTTAAAAAACTTGAATCATTGTGGTACGTATAAAGATAATATTCTCAGATTCAGAGAGAATTATAGGACTCCTTTCCCTGTCCTTTGGCTTATAAGACACAGAGGATTCTTACCTCTTGCCTACTTCCTAAATATTGGTGTTGGCTGAAGTTCTGATCTGAGCTTTCTCAACTCATCCACACCTGTGGATGTGGTAAGCAAGTTACATCTCTAAGTTAGATCTCTTCTGAGTGTGAATCCCATATATTCATTACCATATATGTGACATTTCCACATCCCCTAGGTTGGTGGTCTCCAAACTTTCCAAACTTACAGAAGTAAATATGTTGAGCATGTCCCTCAAAATGCACATTTATTTATAAACAATATAAATGTACTCTTAAAAATATTATATATATATACATACATATATATGTAATATATTTATAAATATAAATATTTATAAATATAAAAAATATATATATATTTTAATAGAGACGGGGTCTTGCTCTTACTCAGGCTGGTCTTGAACTTCTAAGCTCCAGCAATCCTCCCTCCTCAGCCTCCCAGAGTGCTAGGATTACAGGTGTGAGCCACCATGCCCCACCAAACAATATAAGTGTACTATGGTCAATCTGTTAGTAAAGCTTATTGTTTTTTGTTTTTTGTGTTTTTGTGTTTTTTTGGAGATGGGGTCTTGCTATGTTGCCCAGGCTAACTTTGAACTCGTGGGCTGAAGTGATCCTCCTGCTTCAGCCTACTGAGTAGCTGGGACTATATGGGCACACCACTGCACCAAGCTAGTAAAGCTTCTTTATTTTGAAGATAGAATATTTCCCTCCCACATCCTCATGGATCTCTTTATACATCTTCTAGGGTATGAGTAGTCCAATTTGGAGGAATCTGTCATAGGCATCTCAGTACAATATAAAATTAAGAGTTTAGGCTCTGGAGCAGATTGCACATGTGATTGTGAACAAGTAACTTTTCCTCTCTAAGCCTCAGTTTCCTTATCTGTAAAATGAGTTAAAATCTACCCTGGAGGGTAGGTTTGTTGTATAATAAAGCCTTTGGTTTTTGTCCTGGGTTCTTGATATGGAGCTTCTGAAATGCTTGGAATTGCCTGAGTAATAGGAGTGTCTTTGTTATTCATGAGTCTTTTAGATCATACCTGAATGATATTAGATCCCTATAAACTTAATGAAGTCATCACTAATTGCAGCTGCTATCCAGATGTGGTTTCATGGCTAGAGCAAATCAGCACAACCGTTGCTATTTCATATGTAGCTATTAACTTAGGTGATTGCTTTTTTCTGTATACCTTTTAGTAAAGACAATCAAAAACAATTACTTTCACCTGTTTGGGCCTGCAGTATACTTTCACTGTCCAATCTCAGCTCGGGTAAACTCCAACTCCTTGCCATAGTCTAGTCCGCAGGGACCTAGATTATCTCTTCATTCCATAGGACATCACATTCATCTATTACATTAATCTGATCTAAATATCAAGGGGAAATTGGAATACATGATATTTTCTGGGCATTTCTTAGTACTCCATATCCTACAATTAAAGACAATGGAAAGCTACCCCTAATATAGCTGACCCAGACCTTTTAGGAATGATGGTTTGGGTTATACCACCAGTCAAGTATAGCTAACATACTGGCTGAAAACAAAGAGAATATGAAATGGGTAGTGTTAACAATATAGTTATAATACCAGCTATGACCATCTGATCAGTTGCAGAAACAAAGACTGTGCTACTTATGAGTGTTTCTTCCTTATTTTTACATGAATGCATTTGAGCATATATTAACCATTTTTTTTCTATTCTCCACTTTCATTTATCTGTCATCTAATTCTATCATAAGAAGTGTTAATAGGAGTTCATCTTATGTCTCAGGATTTAAGTCACAGGCTATCACGGGGAAGGTGATTCAGCTCAAAGAGGAATCAGCATTACCCAAAGATGTAAAAAACTTTGTATCCTGTTTTGGGAGAGAATTAGCATGTTTTGGTTATACAAGGGATGGCTGATTTTGCCATTGTCTTTATTTGGAAGTGTGATTAAAAGAAGTATATATGGATGTCATGTTGACAAGGGCTGGGCAGTGGTGTATTTGTATTATGTCAGCTGAACTAACCTGTAGCTACATTTTCCAGAATTCCTTTGCCTTTATTTCCTAGGTTAGTATACAAGAGATATGTTGCATGAGATTTAGAAGCAGCAGCCAAATTCTTATGCTTGGAAGATACTGCTGCGGCACAGTTTTGCTCATCTGCTGGCCCATTTTGTCAGCATGGGCAGCAATCACGAGTATGGCTACTGCGGCCCTGCTGAAATTCCTCCTCCATCTTCTGTGACTCCTTTGCCAGGTCCATGCCAGCTCCAGAATGAAGGGCATTGGATTTTTCTATATTTTACTCCCATCATTGAATTTGGAGGCTTGAAGATGGTTAAAAACCCACAAGGGTGGTTTTTTTCCTTCCTAATTCTTTGCCTTGCCCACTTCAGGCCCCAGCTCAGGATACATGAGCAATAGCCTTATAATTATACAAGTCCAAATACCTATAATAAATCCCTTAGTCAATATTACTGGTTTTACTTTTCTCATTAAACAGTGATTGAGTCACCGACCATACCAAACTGTGCAGGGTTCCACTAATAGGCCATGCTTCTGTGTCTTTGTCTATTCCTTTGCCTAGAATCCTGATCTCCTCCTCTGCCTATTTAAATCCTCCATATTCTTGGATCCTGACATAGTTTACATCCTTAGAGAAGCCTCCCCTGACCTCCTGGCCCTAGTTAACTACTACTCCTTTGTGCTGGTGCTTCCATAGCAACCTGTGTATCTCTGTCACAGCATCCATGGCTTTATATTGTCGTCCTCTCTTCTTGGTCTTTTTCTGTACGGAGACTAAACTATTTGATGGTAAGAACTGGAGACCTTACACAGTGTCTGGCACATAGCAGGCACTAAATAAATGTTTGCTGAGTGATGAAAATGAGGACTGTGACTTTGCAGTAGAGCTTCTTGTTGTATTTGGTTCAAGACTCACATATCACAGCTTGTAATAATAAGATAATTGCCACATCACTTTTTATATGCAAGCCCCACACCCATCATTGCATAATCCCCAACCTACTCTCAGGCTGACTCTATTCTGCACAGCATGAAGGGGAGCTAAAACATTGTGACTTGTTAATATTACTGTAGACAAAAGAATTTAGATAATTAGGTCCTAAAATGGACTTGTTATTATAACTATCTGATTTAGCTGTTGATGCAACCTGAATTAACCAAGATAATTTACACTTGTTCTTTGGATTTGACTGTATAGGTGTTTACTTAATTTATGGACTAATGAAAAGATTTCTCTAGTGCTCAAACTTGGAATAAAAGGAGAAGGCAGCTGTTGAGATTTGTAGGCTCTAAAAATGTCTTCTTCTCACTTAAACTATTTTAATAACTACATCTGCTGTTCATATATGCTGGGAAATATGATCACTGCTCTTAACCATGCAATATAGGCTATGATCTAAAACTGCTCTCCTGGGTGGGCATAGTGGCTCAAACCTGTAATCCTAGCACTCTGGGAGGCCAAGGTGGGCAGATTGCTCAAGGTCAGGAGTTCAAAACCAGCCTGAGCAAGAGTGAGACCCCCATCTCTACTAAAAATAGAAAAAAATTAATTGGCCAACTAAAAATATATAGAAGAATTAGCGGGGCATGGTGGCGCATGTCTGTAGTCCCAGCTACTTGGGAGGCTGAGGCAGAAAGATCACTTGAGCCCAGGAGTTTGAGGTTGCTGTGAGCTACGCTGACACCATGGCACTCTAGCCTGGGCAACAGACTCAGACTCTGTCTCAGAAAAAAATAAATAAATAAAACTGCTCTCCTTAGCTGAGTTATTTAGGATAGGAACAATTCACTGCTCACTTCACTATAGAGATTAACAACCTATCACACCCTACTGGGATGTTTTGTCAGCTGAAAATCTTAAGAAATTCAGCCCATTACTGGGCAACAACCTCAACCAAGTAAGGATCAATCTTTCTTACCCTTCTCCCAGTACATCATCTTGACCCAATATTCATTTTCTACCATTAATGAATAAAATAAAGAAAAATACTTTTAAAGACAGCTGAACATAAGATACAAATTATGCAGGTTACCCAGAGTCACAGCTCCTACAACAAATCCTTGGGCAGCAACTCTCAGGTGAATAAAATGAATGGACATTTTCTGGTCTCTTCTGTACTTCAACTTGTAAAGACCATAGGACACCACAGTCACAAAACCTGCTATACCTGTGAATTTAAAAATTAAGGGTTAAATAAACAACAGGCAAGAATTCTCAACTGCTTAGAGAGTTAAAGGAAAGACCATCTAGGCCAGGCGCAGTAGCTAACATTTGTAATCCTAGCACTCTGGAAGGCCAAGGTGGGAGGATCCACTGGAACTCAGGAGTTCAAGACCAGCCTGAGCAAGAGCAAGACCCTTGTCTCTACTAAATATAGAAAAAAAAATTATCCAGACAACTATTAGCTGGGTATGGTGGCACGTGCCTGTAGTCCCAGCTATTCAGGAGGATTGCTTGAGCCCAGGAGTCTGAGGTTGCTATGATCCAGGCTGACGGCATGGCACTCTAGCCCCAGCAACAGAATGAGCCTCTGTCTCAAAAAAAGAAAAAAAAAGAAAGACTATCTAAAGCAGGGGTCCTCAAACTTTTTAAACAGGGGGCCAGCTCACTGTCCCTCAGACCATTGGAGGGCCATTGGAGAGTGCGGCGCACATTCCACACATGTTCACTGTGGGTCTGGACACTTGGCTGCTAAGCAGGACAGGCAGCAGCCCGTGGGCCAGATATTCATCTCAGTGGGCTGCATGTGGCCCGCGGGCCATAGTTTGAGGACACCTGAAAAGGATAAGTAACTGGAGGATAAGCAGGCAAGATAGCAAAGAATACTTTAAAAAGAACCATGCTGGATTTCATCTATCAGATTTCAAAGTGGGCCCTTAATATTCCTGGATTCAATATTTGCAGATTTACTCTTCCCAGAAAAACCTGAACCATATAGTATAGTAGCTTGTCTAGTCATTTGTAATTTTCCTGGGGCATGATTTTGAATTGTGTATGCTACCACAGCTATTATCTGGGGCAAGTCACTTAGCTAGAGAGGGAGCCAACCCAACATCCCAGTATCCAAAGCTTTTGAATGTTTGGCTTTATTCCTCTCTCCCTGTCATCAAATAGGAGTAAATCTAGTAAAGGGAGAGGGAAAAAAAAAAAAACTTTGTTCTTCTGTAAAAAATAAGACAAGACAATAAATTTTATTTTTGTTTGTTTGTTTTTTTGAGACAGAGTCTCACTCTGCTGCCTGGGCTAGAGTGTCATGGCGCCAGCCTATCTCGCAGAAATCTCAAACTCCTGGGCTCAAGCAATCCTCCTGCCTCAGCCTCCCAAGTAGCTGTGACTACAGGCATGCGCCACCATGCCTGGCTAATTTTTTCTATATATATTTTTAGTTGTCCAGCTAATTTCTTTCTATTTGTTTTAGTAGAGACGGTGACTCGCTCTTGCTCAGGCTGGTCTTAAACTCCTGAGCTCAAACGATCCACCCACCTGGGCCTCCCAGAGTGCTAGGATTACAGGCATGAGCCACTGTGCCCAGCCAACAATAAACTTTAATGAGAGCTGAAAAGGTATGAATATATGTACAAAAAGTACAGCTCTGGGAAGAACTGTGATTCTAGAAAAGTCCATGCAAGTATTTCTGTATTTCCTACAAAGGTCAAGGGGTAAATATACTGCTGTGACAACCAAGATCCTATGTAACTAACTGGCTCTAAAACAAATTGATTAAAGAGAAGATTCTGGAAAGAGATTTAAAACACTATGAGAACTTAATCCACATCAAACAAAAAATAACCAAATAACAGGAAAAGGAATTATCATTTAATAAATGCCATTAGTACAACTTATTGGTATACAGAAGAACTAACTTGGATTTGCATTTCACACCAGACTCTGCAAAAAATATTCTAGATGAGTAAGATTTAAATGAAAAAACAAAAATATAAAGAATAAAAAACTATAGAATAACATATTTATAACATCAAGAGGATAAGGTAGACTTAATAGAAAATGACAAGGATGAAATGCTGTATTTGACATAAGAATAGAGAAAACTTTTGCATGATAAAAGTGTGGGTCTATTTTTGGGGTTCTCTGTTCTATCCTGTTTATCTGTGCATCTGACTCTCCATCAATACCACACTGTCTCGATTACTGTAGCAATATAGTAAGCCTTAATATCAGAGGGATTCCTTCCACTTTATCTTTTTTAAAAAAGATTGTTTTAGGTGTTCTAGAACTTATACATTTCCAAGTAAATTTTAGAAAGAAGCTTGTCTATGTCTACAAAAAAAACTTTTCTGGGATTTCCATAGAAATTATATTAAGCCTATAGATCAATTTGGGGGAGAATTGACATCTTCACTATACACTGTGCCTTCTAATTCATGAAAACAGTAGTCTCTCCATTTATTTAGGTCTCTGATTTCTTCTAACATTTTATAATTTTTACGATACTTTTTTTATTAGATTTATATCTTAGCATTTCATTTTCTTTGGAGTGACTGTAAATGATATTGTTTTTAATTCTAGTTTTCATGTTTCTTGTTAGTATATAGCAATGTCAATTATTTTTATGTGGGATAGCAAATTTTGAATAATTATTTTGGTACATATGTGGCAATGGGTGGGTGAGAATATATCTATTCTCTCAGGATCCATATAATAAGTAGAAATAAAAATCAGTAAATAATCACATTTATATATGTATTTTATGGGATTATTAGCAATAAATGAAATTGAAATAAAAATGACCTATGTATTATAAACATATAAAAGCAGCAACACAACAATAAAATAATGATGGTAGACAAATGGGAAAACAGGTACAATGTTGAAAGCTCTGTAAGTTTGACCAAATTTTTCTGGAAAGAACTATGGAAATATACATGAATGTTGAATTTAAACTGAACATGCTTTCTGCCCTGGAAATTCTACTTTTGGGAACATACTCTAAGCAAATAAACAAAAGTCAAGAAAATGACAAAAAGATGTTCGCGGCTGAGGAAAAATTAAACAATACAAATGGCTCAAACAGAAGAAAAACTGCCATTGATGCTTTAAAAATGATAAGAATAGAAAGTATTAATATATAGAAATGTACATACGACGTGTTAAGTGAAAGAAGCAAAACCAAATAATCTGTCAACACAAATGTTAAATACATTATGCATGTACAGACTTCAACAATGATTGTAAAATAATTTTGAACAATGTAAATATATTTCTAATGATGGAAGTTGTTTAAGATAACCAATAAAAATGTTTTGTAAATTATCTGCATGGGACACTCCATCCTGTAACAGGAAATACATAGTAGACGTTGTTAAAATAACAATAGCTAAACAAAACTGTTCCATGATATGAATCCAAATTTTATCATTATTTATTTTCTGGCAAAAACTTGGCTCTCTTCTTCCTTTGATCAAATCAAAGTTCTGTTCTTACTTAATTTGGCTTTGTTTTTTTTAGAAATTAAATCAGAACCTTCACTGCTTTCCATATAGTGTTTCTAGTTTATATATAATTGAATTTAGCTGGAAACACTTTTATCTTTCTACTTTAATCACTGTAAGTGTGTCTGGAAAAATAATTTAATGTCCAACAGGCACAGTGACTAATCTCTGTTCATTATAGTGATCTGTTCAAGTAGCATTGAGTTCTTGAATTCTTTTTCTGGTTAAAAATGCTAAGGAAGATCAATCACTATCACATTATTTGCTTCCATTTCTTATGGGTGCTATTACAAATCTTAATCAAATTAAATGAAACTTCTAAACAGAATATTCCTAAAAAGTAAAATTTGGTTCTTTCTGATATGTGAATAATGATACTTAATAAGTTGCTAAAGTTGCAGTGACACTTGATGGAACATATGACATACCCATTTAAAAGATTTTATGGAATTAATATATTCACAAATTTAGGTCAGCCTGACTTAAGTAAATTATTTTAATAGTTTCCAGGCTAAATGTATAAAGGAAAGCGATAGGGCTGCAGTATACAATAATAATGCTTAGGGCAGTGTAAGCATCTATAGAGAAGAAAGTTCAGATTTTAAGACATAATACTGGTGCTTAGATATCGTGGGTTTGTGGGTTTTTTTGAAGTCCACATACATACAGTACTTGTTGAAAATGTAAATATACTAAAAATGTGTGGGGAAAGGATAAAGAGGCTAAGGTTATAATACCACTTCTTGAGCCCAGAGTTTACTTAACCATCACCCTCAACATCTGGAACACACCAGGAAGCCAGCATAAAGGACCGCTGGGCAGCTAAAATGAACACCACAAAGTTCATGCACTCAAGTGTACAGGTAGGCCCAGGCTTTCACTCAGAGCTTTACTCTGAACTCACAGTTCTCTCAAGGTTGGGTATCTAGCTTCTGGGCCACAGAACATTAGAAGCAGAAGTTTTTAATGGTACCCAATAGTACTGGAAAACAGACAAATCTATGAACAGCAGACATAAGAATTTTCTTCTTTTTTTAAGCCAGTCAAATTTAGCAGCAGGGGATTGTATACCAACTTTAGTGATACTAATGATGTTAGTGGGTTCTCATAACTCACTACCCTTGGATCAGCCAAGACATAAGAATTGAAATGTTGGAGTTACTTAGCAAACAGATACATCTCAATAATCTCTGACAGACTGTAAGTATAATAAACTACTGCTGCTGCTGACAATCCTGGTCATCACAGAAAAGTTAAAGGCCATTCACTCAATTCCATTTGATTGGCTAGGAACTAATAATTTTTAGATAGACCTCTAACAAAATGGATAAAACAATAACATTTTGATGCTTCAAATAATAGCTAACATTTAAGGTGGGGACTTACCATGTACTAGAAACTATTCTGAAAGTTCAACTCATGTTTAGAGGAGGTTAGCTTCAATTGTCTGAAAAAATTCAATAATATGAAACATTTCAATCCTCAAAGATACTGAGTAAGGCATTATTGTATTATTACAGTTTTCTAGTATCCAGTCAAGGCTTGTACTTACCTACAGGGACAAAGGGGGAGTCTCTAGATTTCCTGATCAGTCGGGATAACTGGCCTTCATCCTCATCTGCTGACCACTGGTTGTCTGAAGACATTTTTCTCTCTAGTAGCAACAGGAGATAAATGTTTGCTATGAATCATGAAAAGTAATTCATTTACCCTCTCCCAACATCCTCTTGTTTATGCGTTCTGTCTTCATTTGCTTAACATGATGTTTGCTCCATTGAAATAAACAATTGTCTTTCCTGTCCTTTACACTTCTCACTACAGAATCCTTTCATTTAGGGGGAGGGAGGGTAAAGGATAACGGAAAAATATATAAAGAGAGGAAATGATAATCAGAGTCCATCAATACAGAACAAAAATTAACACAGCTCATAATTCTTTTATTCAGTCTCATTTCACTCAGCCTTTGGGATCATTGGGAACCTCAGTACTTCTTCCACAACCAGTAAGAACACAGAGTTTCTTGTACAATGTAGCATTTTGAAGAAGGATGGTAGTGCCAACATAAGCAAAAATACCTTCATATTTACACATAATGGGAGAATGATCACTCCAATCCTGCAGAATGTGTGCGGCATTATAAAATCATTCAGGGCTGGGCTCGGTGCCATGCCTGTAACTCCAGTGCTCTCGGAGGCTGAGGCTGGAGGAGCACTCAGGCCAGGAGTTCATGACCAGCCTGAACAAGAAAACATTTGAAAACATAGCCCAGTTGGTGCTGTAGTCCTAGCTACTTTGCGGGGCTGAGGTAGAAGGATTGCTTGAGCCCAAGATTTCGAAGTTACAGTGAGCTATGATTGCACCACTGCACTCCAGCCTGGGCAACAGAGTGCGATCACGACTCAAAAATAAAATAAAATAATTCAGATATTTGCCAAGCACCTACTATGTGCCAGTTCCTACGCTAGACAATGGATTCCTTGTCTAGCCTGACTTGTCTACACAGGATGAATGAAGAAACTTGCAAAAGCAACTATAATCACAATGAGTTTAGCAGGACCTTACTTAGTCTGTTATCTGTGCAGCCTACTATTTTCACCCCAAAATTCAAACATAATGGCTTCACCCTATGAATGATCTTTCATCAGAAAATGTAAGTGGCGGAAGTACAATACTTACTTACTTTGGCGTACACCACCACTTGCTGTCTCCTAGTGTTCCTTGAGCAAGAGGCCGCAGATGAGAACAGGCGCTGCAAGGCCAGAGCACACTGATGTGCAATTTCCAACTAATTGATAATGGGAAAAGCCAGACACACCACGGGGGGAGTGGCTGCTTGTATTGGCCAAGGTTTACCCTACCCCTGCTAGACACACACTGGTAGCAGGACCTAGGCCACAAGCTAGGTTTTCCAAGGCAACATTAAGGAAACATGAAGGCTTTGGAAGAAGTTGCTTCTACTTAAGTCTGCAGTTGCTTTTACTTAAGTCTGCCTTCACAAGGGAGCTCCCAGCTTCTTTCTGTGGCTGTGGGTCTTAGTACCTGACTCCTGAGCCCAGAAGTGAGAGGAGAAAGATGGCACGGGGTCACAACACTGAGCCTGGAGGGGTAGGGAGCAGGGTAGCCACATGAAGCCAAGGTTCTTGTCACCCTTTCTAAATAGGCCCTAGTCAGAGGCGCACACGCTGCAGTTGGCCTGGGCTGAAGTGCTGAGAGCTTGCCCGGGGTCACCTTGTGGTGGGTCCCTAGCACCTGTGGCTCCTCCAGAGCCTCTGGCGGCACGTGGGCCTTGGGGAAAGACTTGACGTCACTGCACGCGCGGCCAATCCGAGGGCAGAGCGCGCAGGCGCCCAGAGAGCCCGCGCCCTGACGCCGTGCGTGCGTCAGACCTGAGGGCCCCGTGGCTCCCCGGGCGGCCGGCGGCGGCAGGAGCTGAATTCACCTCACAGCTTTGGGGTCTCTGGAGACCTCGGAGAAGTCTCACCGCCTGCCTCTGCCTCCAGCTGTATAGACCGCAGGATGAGGACACAGCACCAGGTAGCATTCGTGTTTCATTGTATTTTTCTTAGTAACTTAGTAATTTTTAAATAATTTCAGACTTTCAGAAAAGTTCCCAGAATAGTACAAAGAACTGTATGTCCAGCCCCCGGATTTCCCTTAATTAAGGCGATTCTTTCTTTCAAAAAGTTCTTGGTTGAACCATCTGAGAGAGAGTAAGTTACCCCTATAGACCTGTATGTGCATTTGGGATATTCTCGTACCTAATCATAGTATGAGTGACCAAAATCAGAAAATTAACATTGATAATAATTCAATTTTCCAATCTAAAGAGTTTATTCACATTTCACCAGTTTTCCCAATAATGTCCTGAATACCAAAAAGAAATTTTTTTTGTTTCTGGTCTAGTGTTCAGTCGTGATCACATGCCGAATTTAGCTGTCCTGTTTCTGTAGTCTCCTTTAGTCTGAAACATCTCCTTAACTGTCTTTGTCTTTCATGACCTTGATATTTTGTCATCACATGTTAGTTGTTTTATAGGTAGTCTCTCACATTAGTCTTTTTTTTCCTGATTTTTTTTTTCACTAGATTGAGGTTTTATACATTTTGGGCAAAATACTACAGAAGTGATGCTGTGTTCTGTTTGGTACATAATATCAGGAGGCACGTTAAAGTCGAATTGTCTGGTGGTAATAACTTTGACCAGTTTTTTGCTGATAAATGTTTGACAGCTGGCTCTCAAGGCAGGGGAAAGCCCTGATTTGTAGCACTTGCTAATTTCTGTGGTGTAAAAACTCCCACCATGGCCAGTTTCAAAGTAGTTTCTGTCACACTGAACACAAATGTTCCTTTCCTGAGTTGGTATGAGTTGGCTCTAGCACACTACATGGCTGTGATCACATGGATTGAGGTGGTGTCTTCCAGGTTCTCCACTATAAAATACCGGTTTTTTCCCTTTGGCAATTAATAAGTATTTAGTGAATAAATACTTTAATATTACACAAATATCCTCTTTCAGATTTTTACCCATTAATTTCAGCATCTATTGATGGTCCTTGTTTAAATCAATTAATTTTATATTTGCCAAATGGTGATTTTTCTAAATTCATCTTTTTTTAACATTTATTATTGGCATTCTACCGTAAGGAATAGCGTTCTCTTCTTCCCTATTTCATAATTCATTTACGTCAATTTGGATTCTTGGATTCCTATTTTATTCAGTGGTTTATAATCCATCACTATGATTATATATTTTGATGGTCAGATTGTACCAGATTTGACTAATGGAAAGCCCTTTAAGCTGACTCCTGTTTCCTTTTGACATGTTCCCTCATTCGTTGAACACCTTTTCATTTCCTGGCATAGTAAGTTGTTCCAGGCTGAACTTGTGCTTTTTCTGCCTAAACCTTGAAACCAGTCATTTCTTCAAGGAGTCCTGACTAAGTTTACTGGAAAATGGTATTTAGAATCCAAGTTCTGGGCAAAAGAGTTGCTCATTGTTATCATTACTTTTAAGCTCTACCAGCAGTTAGGATTTATATCTATTTCTATTCCTGTATGTCTATCTAATATAATAAAAGCATGAGTTTAATAGTAATATCTCCAATTTCAATTCAACTCTGCAGTTTTTATTCTTGTCTTCCCCCTTTCCTATTTGTTATTCCCTTCTGTGACTCTGAGAGACCTGGCTCCTGCCATCCTCAGTATATTCATTTATTTGCTTAATTCTAGAATACACAAAAATAAGTTTCAGAGTTTCTGTGGAAAAAAAACCCCTATTAATAGGAGTTAAATATTGTTCATAGTTCGTTCTGTAAAAGGGTATATAGTCAAAATACTGTGTTCAAACATCACTTGGAATAAAAACATGTCTACACAAACACTTGTACACAAATGTTTATAGCAGCATTATTCACAATAGCCAATAAGTGGAAACAACCCAAATATGCATCCATTGAGGAATGAATAAATAAAATGTGGTATATCCATTCAGTGAAATATTATTTGGACATAAAAAGGAATGAAGTACTGATACATACTACATCATGGATGAACCTTAAAAACCTAAGTGAGAAAAGCTCATCATAAAAGACCACATACTATGTGATTCCATTTATATAAAAATATCTGGAATAGGCAAATCTATAGAAACAGAAAGTAGATCAGTGATTGCCCAGGGCTGGGAGGCAATGGGAGAGAAAAAGGGAAAGACAACTAATGGGTACGAAGTCTTTTGAGGGAGTGATGAAAAATGTTTTAAAAATAGATTATGGCCAGGTTTGGTGGCTTATGCCTGTTATCCTAGCATTTTGAGGCTGTAGTGAACTATGGTCGCGCCACTGCTCCCTAGCCCAGGGTGACAGAGCAAGACCCCGTCTCAAAAAAAAAAAAAAAACTTGACCAACATATATACATTTATATATTTATGAATATAAATGATGCTACACACCCAGATGCTTGCTAATGCATACAACTCCAGCTGTCTAAATTTTTAAATGAGAAGAAGGACTGTTAACCTGTCAGGCCACATTTTTGCTATGGTGTCTATTTTTTCCCCTTTGGATTCTGGGTAGAGTTTAAAGCCCTCTGTGCTCCTAAATAAAATTTTATAAAGAAACATTTGCCTTATGTTCACACAGCACTTAGATAACTGGCATGCCTGAACATGTAAGGATGAGGTAAAAATGGTGCCATCTAGCACCAATTCTTAACTTTTAAGAGGGAGGGGTTTAGATAACCTCAAACGCCTGGGCTCAAGTCATCTTCCTGCCTCAGCCTCCTGAGTACCTAGGACCACAGGCACCCACCTAATTTTTTAAATTTTTTTAGAGACAGGGGGCTCACTATGTTGCCAAGGCTGGTCTCAAACTCCTAGCCTCACATGATCTTCCAGCTTCCCAAAGTGCTGGGATTACAAGTGTGGGCCACCATGCCTGGCCTAGATATTTGTCTTAATATTGCAGCCTTTACTTTATAAATAAGGTTTTTAGATTTCTTTAAGCTTTAGTGGTTAATAAGATGAAAAGGGCTCTTCCTCGGAGATTCAATTTCATAATCCCTCATAATCTGAGAGGTGAGATAGAAATTGAACTGGGTGCTGCTTCTTTTACAGCCCTAATACAGGCTGCTTAGTTTGACAGGTATTATGTAATCAGAGAGAAGATTAGAGGGATTTGGAAAACCATGTTTGTGTCTACAAGCATTCAGTTTGCAGGGCATTTGCAGCAATAGAAGCAAGTGCATCTTACAAGAGTGCCGAACTTTTTGTTAGGTGCAAAAGTGAGAGCTTTGCCAGACTATATTTTATGGAAAATTCCTTTAAAATATACCAAATCTTCAATAAACATTAAAGTGTATAATAGATGATTGGAATTTCATTACTATATTTATAGAAGTAAAATATATCTTCTTATAGAAAAATAAATTTCATTCTGGTCTTCTCTCAGTTGCTTAAGGAGGCAGGTCTTGACCGGAGGGCAAGGTGTGTGAAGAAGCTGCAGTGCCCAACACTGGCAGCTTTACGGTTTGCAAAGCACTTTTGGTGTTTATCTAATTTCATCCCCATAACAATCCTAGGAGATGGAGCTGGTGTTATCCTCTTTTACTAAGTTAATGAGATACAAGTAAGATGCATTGATGAGATTTGGATTCTGATATTGTGACTGTAAACTCCATGCTTTTCCACTGGACCACAAAGCTGTGAAGATGTTGAGAAGTCACTAGAAAGACTGCCCTAAATACAAAGATGAGCTGCTTAAATTTGATTTTATGCGGAATAGGTACCTTCATAATTTTGAGTTGTGGGAATGGGCAAGTTGTTAATAAACTGTTGCTTAAGCAATCTTATCCTTATTCTAGAAATTATGAGTAGGGGCACAGGGGTGGTGAAGGTGTGGAGGCATGGAGACCAGGTTGGAGCATTTTCAAGCATGAGAGGCTATGGCTTGGTTTAGTCTAGGAAGCCACTTCTTTACACCCCAGGAACATTGTTCACTGAGCTTCTGTTTTTGCTGTGCTTTGTCAGTGGGATGAATTGGGTGAAGCAGGGCAAAGAACATTGACTCACTTGCAAAAGGAGTGTTTTTCTACTCTTATATCCAGATTTTGGATCTTCCCCTCACTTTAGAGCTACTTTGCTGTCATATCCTGTGAGTAATCAGGCAATATCTGGCAAGTTCCTATGTGAATGGTTTGTGATTCCAGCCATCCCCAGCTGACCTATACATATGGTCATCCAGGCATTAGTTCTCAAACTAAGGTGATGGTGCTAGCTGTGCAAATGGAGTGGAAGGGACAAGCTGAGAGCTATGTAGAAGAGGCAGGACTTAGGATAAATTAATCAACAAATACTTTTTGAGCCCCTGCTATGTAGCAAGCACTGCATTTGACATGTAGAAGAAAGAAAGAAGAGATTGTGAAGTCACACCCCTGGGTATTAGTGAGTGCCAAGAGGTTTCTCAAAGAGGAAGCTTCTTGAAATGGCCAGAGAATGCTTTGTAGAAGGGACATCACTTTCTCTGGTCCTTAAATAATAGAGAAATAATCATAGGTCATGGGGAAGTTGGAAAATGTTGCTTACTTAGGGAAGGAGACAGTACATTCTGTTTTTGATGTGTTAAATTCTAAATATCCAAGGATCGGCAAAAGTATGAGGTTTAGGACTCTTCTTCACACAGGTGGTGGTTCACACCCTAAGAGTAGAAGACAGGCTCAAGGGATTGAACTCAGCACAGCAGAGCATGTGAGTCTTATGGGACCATTCACTGTGAAATGGTGGAGGAGGAGGACATAGAAATATGGAGGTTTTAGATTCAGAAGATGACGCTGAAAGCAGTGCAGCACAGGGGCGAGGCCTGGGTTTCTGACTGGGGCTAACTGCATGGGAATACTGGTGTGGCCTCTCACTGTGTGGC